GTATATTACTAGCTATGTAGGCAGTTGTTGCATGGTGTGATGCTTAAATATGAAGATAAGAACAAGGATCCGGAAATCTAGTTCACAATTTCACTTCACCTTAGTTATTTTCAGGGGACATTCCTGATCAACAAAAGTGAATCCAGGAATCACAGCATAAAGGAACGACTATTTAACTTCAAAGGGAACGGGATGGGGTTTTGTTTTCTTCCTAAAAAATACATTCTGATCCCCAATTTAATGCAACAAATATTGTGGCCAGGAGGTGAAAAAAAATATTCTGAATTCAGATTTTTCCCATAACTTATAGTGATAAATTTTGAAAAATAGTCTGATCTATAGCATTAAAAAACTAAAATAATCTCTATCAGACAAAAATCATGATCCCCTCCCTATCTTTGAAGTTAAAAAGTTGCTCTCTTTATGAAATTGTAACAACTATTATATCTCTGTATAACCAGTATCCCGATTAAATCGATATATGGAATTCATTTTAATAAACTTGGAACGATTCAGTAAAATGACAGTATATTTAAATTCATCAAGAATAGATTACGTTTACTTTCGATTTTTAAACGAAATGAAATCAGGAAGTGACAAGAGGATAACAAATTTAGAATGAATCCAAATTCATATACAGATTGGTGTTTAACAAAAAGGCGGGAAATTATCAATTTTTAAATTAAGTTGCTCACGGTAAGAAATAAAGTCTCTCGTTTAATTTTATACTAAATGATTTCGTATTTTACTTTTTAGTGTTTATTCTATTTTTAAGAATACGTTCCCGCATGCGTCGAACATGATAAAGAAAGCACCTGTTTGACTCGTGAAAATATTTTTAAACGTTTTAAAGTTTCATCATTGTGATCGAAATTGTTGAAAGATTCTGATGAAAAAATATATCAAATGGGACGCAAATACAAGGGACCAGATGATATTATATAATTGGCACAAAGGACATGAAATATAGAAATAGACTATTTTAAAATAAATAATTCAACATATTATAATTACATCTTTAAAAATTACGAATTTATTTAATGGTTTATCGACACGTGCCACATTCAATATTGATTGCCGCCTGTGTAATCGATTGAAATTCATTATCATTCAACCAGGAACAGTTTATTACGCACGTATGTTATTTCAGCATGTTCTAGTTGGTTTTTTTTCACGTGTTTTGTATTTGGTTTATAAAATAAAATTATGGATAAGGTCAAACGAAAATTAAAAAAATACTCTATTTGTCATAAAAAGCTTCACAAATTCCACAAAAGGTTTGACAAACTTTTGACTTTATACTTTTCATAATAATGTTAATTTAAACTGCATCCATTTATCGGTAAAATACAGTTTAACCTAAGAACAAACTATAAAAATATGTTGAAAAGGGCTCCACTCATCATGCATGCCTATTTGCAAAGATACAGGTAGTTTTAACACTATGAACATATAATAGAAAGCTGTCTTAGAAAATGATAATTACGTTGAGTAAACTTGAGCGGTCATACATAGCCCTATTTAGACAAGAGGGTATTCAAACGTAACTCTACATAAAAGTCTATGATATTTTGTAACAGTTGAAAAAAAACTGAATTGAGCTCCATTTCATCTTTGACTGCCCTCTATATATTGACTGTCGAATTAACAAATTAGCAAAATATATAGTTCGTGCATGTCATATAAGACGTCAGTTGCTGTATGACCCATAACTTTTAAATTATTTCCATATTCAATCTAAATATTTGAGAATTTATTTCAATTTTGAATAGAATGAGATATATTATATATGTGGAGCGGGATCTGCTTACCCTTCCGGAGCACCTGAGAGCACCCCTAGTTTTTGGTGGGGTTCGTGTTGCTTATTCTTTATTTTTCTATGTTGCGTTTTGTGTACTATTGTTTGTCTGTTTGTCTTTTTCTTTTAAGCCATGACGTTGTCTGAGTATAATAGTCCCAGATAAGATTCATTGAACACGAAGATTTGGAATGTGTACTTTATCGTGTGTCACGTGCCGCTTGGCACGCGCTGATTAAAAAGTCATTTAACTTCAAAATCAAAATATCTATTGATACTAAATTTCATATTTATTGTTTATATGCTTATATCTTCTTTTATCCACGCGTTATTTGTGCTCACCATTCAAGTGACCTTAGTGCAAAAACTTTGTTCTTAATGCTTCACACTGCTTTACGGAGTCGTTCTTTTTTTTTTAAGATATTTAGTCAGACAAAATAATTTTGGGTAGAATTTAAAATAAGTTCCTGTAAAAAATGACGGTCTTGTAAATATACAGTCCGCCAAAAGTTAAGCACCACCTATTTTTATTGCATCGAAATCTTTTTCATTTAAAAAAATCAGTTAATCCTCGAAAAAGAGAAAATATTCATGTAGCAATTTTGCTAAAATATACCATAAACAAACCGCAGACTTAAGTTTGTTCACGTATGCAGGTTCTATGCATTTGAAATTTGCGTTCATAGAAATAGTGAAAATTACACAAATCATAAACGGAATTTAGGTTTCACTGTGATTTTATTTTTTTACAACAATTAATCACCCAATATCATTAAAAGTCTCTACAAATATTCTTTGATATGTTTCGGCAAATTTAATGTCAATATTTGAGTCAATAGGATGTGTAACACCCTCTCTTCCGGTACAGTTCCATAACACGGAGTCTCATACTCTGTACAAGCCTTCTGAACTTTAGTTGAGCAAATTTATTCCATTCAGCAACAATTGCGCTTCTTAAATCGCTAAGATTTTGCAAAGGTGGATCTCTACGATTGAGATTTCTGCCAATGGTATCCCAGACATGTTCGATAGGGTTCATGTCTGGAGACATGGAAGGCCAAAAGATATTGTCAATGGCTTCTTGCTCTTTGTACTCTTTGTACTCGGTTACAATCCTTACCCTGTGTGGTCTAGCATTGTCGTACATGCACAAGGGTCTTGAAGCAAGTGGAGGATTATCAAAATGAGGGACTACAATGTTTCTAAGCACCAAATCCCTGTATGTCTGTCCGTTCATGTTACCCTGCAGAATAGGAGGAAAATATAATCCTAAGGGACATATGTTTTTAAGAAAAAGTCGTTCATGATAATCCTATAGGATAAAAAAAATCCCATCGGATTTAACACTTTTTTTGAAAATCCTACAGCACTTTAAATCCCGTAGGATATTAATTTTTATCCCATAGGAGATAAATTTTCCTATAGGATAAATAAATCCGAGAGGATTTAAATATCCCATAGGATATTAGAAATATCCTACGGGATTATGACTTTATCCTATAGGATTTCTCAAAATCCTGTAGGATTTTAAAAAATCTTATGGGATAAAATAATATCCTACAGGATTTTGTCACTGTTTTCACTCCAGTTGCCGAACCAGGCGAGCCACACCAAATTTTTTTTGTATTGTGTTACCTATCCCCAGGGGTACATTATTGCCAAATTTGTTGATTCTACCGTTCAAAAAAGTGTGGTTCTAATTTGCACGTATGAGAAGTGCAAATTAATCCAAGAACATGTTCTATTAATGCTTGTATTTTTTGTTTTTCCACTTCTAACGTTGCTATATTCCCCCCTTTCAAAATCCTGAATCCGCATCTGGCAACGAAATCTTGTTGTCTTATGTTGTTCGATGTTTCTAACCTTACACATTTCCGTTAAGGGAGCATCTATTTAACTTCAAACAAAGGGGGGTAATGTTTTTTTGTCTGAGTCAGAAATTTTTATTCAATTTTCAACGCTATCATTCAAAATTTCTTTTTTATCACTATAAGGTTTGGGGAAAATCTGGATTCATAATATACTTTTTGTCATCTGCTTGACCAGAATATTTTTATCTTCATCAAATAGGGGATCAGAATATTGTTTTTTAGAAAGAAAAAAAAAACATAACCAACCCCCCCCCCCCCCCCCCTTTTGAAGTTAGATGGTCGTTCCTTGATGATTTATTCAGTAAAAATTACCCACATTTATAATTTAATAAAATAAATAAAATACTATAAGTAGATTTACTTCAAAGGGTTAAATAAAAATGCCTGGAAATATCTTATGTATAGTCTCCGATAGCATTCCCGTTAAACAAATTAATACAGAACAATCCCTAATCAATTTGAAACACAAATTAATTCTAAAAACAACATATATAGGGATTTATTTATCAAAATATTTTGAAAAAAATAAAAAATACATTTGTTTTGAAATTAAGTGGAAGCGATAGTTTTATCTCAATTTTCAAAGTTTATAAGGAGACAGATTCTGACAAAATCTGGTTTCGATATTTCTGAAATTGTAAGAAAAATATCCTTCTAAATATTTTCCCCGCAACAAATACATGTATAATAACAAGATAGATAAATAATGTAGAAAGGTATAATAGGGCGTTCATCTGCAATGTATATAGACAAAAAATTGTCATAATCAAAACCATGAAAGATAACTCAAATCGTACGTATGATAGGTATGGGATATGTGTGTTTATACGTGCTCTTATGTCAGGGAAAATAAAGGCGTGAATTTGGAAAACCACGTGATAAATAAAAATACACGTTTTCTATCACTTTACGTCATTGAGAAAATTATTTTATATGGACGAAAATTCCATTGTGTGATTTTAAAAGTCATGGAATGATTTGTTTAAACTTGAGCGACCTATTTAATCAAGTTAAATGGTTGGCAATAGCCAGTCCCATGAGGTCCGTACGTCGAGTTACATACGTATGTCATTTTATTGGAAATCTCTATGAAGACAATAAGGGAACGCATTATACTTTACAAATAGAAATAACACTTGACACACTTAACATGCGGTCAATAAAGACAGGAGTCGAACACACATACAGTAAAGTGAAACTGTAGATGCACTATTTAGACAATTTGGCCATTGATACCCCAAAAGTAAGAGTATAATGTATTTTGGGTAAACTAATTTTCATAGATTAGTGTAAAACTAAATATTTTTTTTTTATATAATATATATCTGTACCTTGTAAGTTATCATATTCCAGCTTTCTGAATCTGTTGAATATATGTTCTTCGTCTGTTACAGCATCATTTATTCTTATAAACTCATGACTTGTTTTGCTTAAACTACATGTAACAGTTGGAATGTTATCCTGATTGTTTTCGTCAATATGTATTAGCGTTATATTTGCTAAATCTGTAAAATACAACATTTTATAGGTATTCAACTAATTCTGCGATTACAATAATTCTATATGTTTGGACTTGTATTTCTTCTTTAACAAAATGAAAAGTAAAATAAATATTTGTTTTAACAAAAGATAAAGTAATCTGGGTTAAAATATACAGCATGTACAGATTGATTGAATTGCCCAAAGGCCACTAAAAACATGTCAGTGGTTAGTCGATCTTGCAAATACAAAACTTGTAATTAAAAAAAAGGTGAAAACTTACAATGTTACCCGACTAATTAACGATACAAAATATCACGAACAAACAAACAAACAAACAAACAAACAAACTAACTAACTAACTTAACTGATTAAACTAACTAATTAAACTAACTTAATTAATTAACTAACTAACTAACTAACTAACGAATGTACGAAAGAACAAACGAACAAACAAACAAACAAAACTAAATACCTACCTAACTAACTAACTAACTAACTAACTATACTACCTAACTAACTAAATGAATAACGAAATAACTAACTAAATAACAAACAATCTAGCTAACCAGACGTTTACATTTTTCTCGTAAACTGCTATCACCAGAATTTATAATGTTCCTTGTAACTAAACTTTTTTAATAACATATAATCAAATGGTTCTTAGTTTAGCGAAAAAGATACGAATAAGAAATAAGATAAGAAAGATATAACTGTTGTAAGAGTTTTTAAGCAGGAAATTGAACATAATTGAAATGTAAATAACTAGACTGTAATCGTGCTTCGTAGTACAAGAATGTAGCAAAAACCTTTAAAATTATTTTTCAGTACTTTTACCTCACATTAATACATGACAGAGTTTATTTCCAACCATTCAAATTCGAGTCTATACTGTCTACATGTATCAGTCCACCCTTAGTTTAGTCTCAAACTGACTACCTAAAAACATACTACAGAGCTCATATGTTTTGCTTTATTGCAAATATTTTGATCAGTTCTCTTCCAGTTACTAGCCGTAGATAGAGTTTGAAATTAACTTACAACTCGGGCAAATTTACCCCTATATGGGTTTTGCGTTTTATTGATGTCCCTTTTGTAATAATCTTCTCATGCATTTAAGTTTATACATCCTTGGCTTTGTATTTTTTGGGGTTTTAGCTTAGAGAAATTCCATGTGCTAGTACCATTTTTTTAGAATGTTAACATTATCAAACTAAACAATATTGCTTTATAAACAAAGAAGCTACCCCAAAAATAGAAACAACAACAACAACAAAACAAAAAAAAACAAAAAAAAACAACAACAAAAAAACAAATAAAAGCCAGGGTTACCCATTTAAGGACTCATCTACGATCGTTATATTTGTCCATTAGTTGTTATGGGATTTTAAAAAGTTCATTGTATTTATACGTTAACAAGTTCTGCAAGGACAAAGTTGCATGCTAGCACTTAACTTAATCACCAGGACAAGGACAAAATAATAGAAAAACGTAGCTACAAAGAAATTGGTTTTGACGAAATCCAGTTATATCCATGCGAGTCATGTTAAAAAAATAAACTAAATGTGGTATCAGCCGAAAAAAAACCCCAAAAAAACCAAATACACATGATGACCAATTATATTACCTTTAAAGTAATATAAATACAAATGTCAATAAATACAAGTATCACATATAAAAAGACATTCTAGACTGAGGGTTGCTGCTGAGAACGGAGATTCTAAATTAGTGGTTCTTATTTAATTTGGTAGTATTCAAGTCATATGTTTGATGGTTTACGATCGCCATCATGATTTGTTTAACTGTTTTGAAATATATGTTTAACAGATCGCCACCATTTGTTTTAGCCACAATCTCATCTACATTACTCGTTAATGAAGTATCAACGAATTTGTACTCGTCATTAGTAACACAACAGGTGTCACAAGTTGTAAAAGAAGAGCTTACCCTCCCAGAGCACCGGAGTTTATCCTAGATTTTCTGTAAGTTTGATTGTACTGCTTTTTACCGAGATTTATGTCTAAGTGGGAAAAATTCTTTTGTTATAATGTGTTATATCTACTTGAAATTTGTCGTATAAATTTTGTTATGCAAATAGTTCGCTTTGTTATTTTGGGTTGATAATGAATATGCCAAAACGTTATATGAAAACTGTATATGCATGATCTTTGTGTTTAATTGCAGCCGATTCTGCAATTGAATGAAGCCTAATCACATACTATTTGTAACTAGATTTCAACAGGAATAGCATTTTTGTGTAACGGATGGAAGTGGAACTGCTCCCCATTCAAAAGCAACGGAGTTAATCTGATGTTTTCCATTAGTTTATTCCTTTTGCTTTTAACAAGAGTTCATGTTTAGTGTGGGGGATTTTTTTCTTATATACTGTTATATCTACTTTGTCGTACTTTGAAATTCTTGTAATACATTTTATCATGCATATTGCGTACTTTCGTTTCAAAATAGCTCTTTCAATTAAGTATTGTGTACTTGTAGGTACTGAATATGCCTCGGCATTGAATGAACATTATGTATATATATATATATATATATGATCTAAGTGTTAGAATGCAATCAAATCTGTCAAAAAATAATGTCTAATAGATGACTATAGCTAGATGTAACAAGATATCAACAAAAATAGGACATTGGTGTTGCTGATTGAAAATGCTCTGCAAACTTTCTAAAGCACCTAAGTTTACACTCCTTTTGGCTGCGTTCTTGCTGGTCAATCTTAACTTTTTGTATTTGGTGTTTTATTAATTATGTTTTTTTCTATATGTAATTGTTTTCGTATATCTTTCTCCGACTGCACTTTCTTATTATCCCCGTGTATTTTTAGTAACTTTTTATTTTATTAATAATGAGTTCTACTCACATTTCACAAATATTAAAAAAGAAAAAAAAAAAAACAAAAACCAAAGCCTTTAAAATTATCAAGGCTTGTTCAATAATTTTCCTTTCAAAATCAGCAGTTGAAGCGAATGTATTTGGTTTTATATTTTACAGCACTGCGATGGCTTACTTATATCATGTTTTCTTTTTTCGCCTATAAGTTTTTCGAACTTGTGACACTTATGCAGTAAATTCTAATTATTTTTAAAACTCAAACATTAATACCTGCCAATTTATCTGAGATATATTTTCTTTTTCCCTATCATACTCATTTTAAATTATTTTTCTGTATATTACAATTATATGTACGGACTTATTATGACAGTATATGCCAGATGTCGTTGTATTTGTGTCAGTTTTCAATACACAGCTGCAATGTACATGCACAACAACGTTTCATACATCTCATGAATTCCTCTCAAACCATGCTTAGGACCATTTTGACCTGCAGTGAGGTGTGAACTGCTGTTCAATGCTATTATTTTACAGTTCTGTGTCATTAGATTAAAATAGCTCTGAAGCGATTTTCTATTCCTTTTAGTTAAGAGGAGAACGTGCATAGATTTAGTGACATGAATTAACTCTTCATATCTCTTCTTCTTATTCCCTAACAAGGACACCAAGATTTTAAGTCGAAGAAGGGTGCACTCAATCATGGCCAAGATGAAATAAAAACATTTAACCTTACAATTATACCCTCATAGTAGCTGCAAACAAAACACTTATAAAGATAGTGAACAATAACCAATGACCAATAGACATGAGGTTAAGGTCTGATGAACCTTGCTAGACAACCCCAACACGAACACCATGCAACATTTCATAAACCAAATAAAGTTGTCTTATTGCTTAGAACGTCCAATAAACGGACACAACCAAGTAAATTTACCATTGACAACTGAACCATAAACATAAGGTCAAAGTCAGTCTAACCCTGACGGACAAATAAGTACACCGTACACGTACAATCATTCCATGCACCAAATATATTTGACCTATGATATAATCGCTTATAGTACTCCTGTATCTGATAAACGGAAAAAAACCAAACATTTACCAATAAACCATGAAAACGATGTCAAGGTCAAATAAACCCTGCCAAATTAACACCTTCCACTCATTTTATACACCAAATAAAGTTGACCCATTGCTTGCAGTATAGAGAAACGAACTTTACCAGGAAAAAAATGACAGTAATCACTGATTCATGAAATTTCGTCGTGGTTAGATGAACCCTGTCTGGTGGACATTTAGACATTGGCAGAAACCCATACATTGAATATAGGTATCCTATTACTCAAAATAAGTGAGAATTTCACATGACAGAAAAAGAATTGTACTTCAAGCAGTCGCTGTACCATCAAAATGAGGGTAAGACAAACGGAAACTTCGTAACATAAGGCATCAAAACAAGGTATGAAACTCTAATGTCTTCTATCTTCTGAAATATAAAGCTCTATACAAAGGGTTTGCATCGCCGCCGCAACCACCTGTTTGTTATCCCTTTGTCTCATATTTTGTGACTTTCGTCGTGGATGAGAAGAAATAGACGGGTATTAGTATCAACGTGACAAGGATGGGAATGTATTTAAGATGAATGATACGGAAGGAGAATCTGTATTCATCGTCTGTTTGTACAAACAGAGTCGTTTCAGTATGTGTATGTTATACATGTTATATTCAGGGACACTGTGCCAACACAAAAGTTTTGTCATGGCTTAATAAAATAGTAGTTCCAATTCTGCTAATTGACGACTATCAGAGGCGGATAGGGACGGGCAAAAGAACATCCCCTTTACAGAGCTACATTTATAGTGTATGCATAGAACTGAAACAAGTCACACTCCTAACGTTGTCTTGTGAGCGGCTCCTCTCTTTTATCAATGATCCGCACTTACAAGTATTCTAAAGACGAAATTTGCAGTATATACTTATAAATGTAGATATTGACTATACTGTAAGTAACAGGTAACAGAAACTTTAAAACTCAAGATGGTTTGGTATTTGTGTTATTCTAATTTCTACATTAAATAATGATACTAACCTTTTGCGTGGGTTTTTATTCTTAACGCAACATACTTTGAAGCAAGAATCTTAAAAACCAATGCAATAACTGAAAAAAATTTAAACAGAGATACATTCTGGACATGCTGGAAGTTTAAACATGAAGTAAAATATCTGTGGGAAGAGCAACGTTGATTGGCTGATTAGGTTAAAGAAATGCACTATCTGTAGTGTTTATTTATAAGTTTTCATGAACACAGAACAGCTTTTGATTAGCCTATAAATATTCCCTTTTCAACAGATATATTGGGTGTGTACTGATTGTTATTTTAGTCTTCGATACATGATGTTTTTATTAGTCGTTATTGGTTTTAAACTTTTGCTAGATGTCAGTAACTCCGAGACCTGTACTTAGTGCTTTTTTTCTTGTGGGGATGTATAAATACCCTGCCACGTCCGGTCTGGGTTTTTGTTAACTGTTTTTCTGCTTTGTATCGATCTGATGAGTGCAGCCTTTTTCAACTGATTTTTATATTTTGTTCTTATATTGTGCTGTTACACCACTGTCCCAGGTAAAAGAGAGAGGGGGGGGGGGGGGTCGCCAGCAGACATGTTTAACCCCGCCACATTCTGTACGTGCCTGTCCCAAGCCAGAAGCCTGTAATTCAATGGTTGTCGTTTGCTGCTGTATATCATATTTGTTTTTCGTTCATTGTTATGTATATAAATCAGGCCGTTAGTTTTCTCGTTTGAATGATTTTACATCTGTCATTTCGTCGTCTCGTTTTGAGGACAGCTTTTTTTTATTTCTTAATTTAATTCATGCTAAGGAATAAAAATAAAATTCCCTCTGTTAATTTATTAGATTTAATAGTAAAGACCACATCAAAAGTTTCAATCGCCCAGTATTGACCAGAGCAGAAATACAGGTACATACAAGGGCAGTTTAACTAACTAACATCGATTACGAAGCTGGTTGGTGAATCTTGAGTGGTTTGCAAACAGACATTATGTATTCTTTGAAACTGTGATTTAAAGTTTTTTTTCTACATTTAAAAAAATATTTCTATTAATTCTTTTTTTATTATTGAGCATGTTTAGTGTGAAACTTTTGACGTTAGTAAAGGTAGAATTTGCGAAATTATGTATGACCATGAAACGAAAAGTAGAGATAAACAATTACAGATCTTTTCTTTAAAGACAAAGGAGTCTCTGTTGTTAGAGCCTATACTATTGGTCAGGGCCGGTTGAGATGAAACTTGAGTAAAAAAAAACAGGAAAAAACAAATAATGTGGTTTTAGTGTATTCATTTTTGTGTTTCTAATAGTTTTAGATTATTTTATGAATATTTAACACACCATTATGAATTGATAGAACAAAACCCACTTTTTATTTTGAAATCTTTCGATTATATCGTGACGGGGTTACTGGATTTTAACTGTCAGATTAAAGGGATTGATAAAAAAAAGAAGCTCCTTTTTTATCTCATTTATTTTCTGTTTCGCTAAAAAGTTACAGTAATTTAATCGTCGCATTTGATGCAGTTGAAAAATACCGCACACTAACTACAGTGTGCTTGAATATATGTCCTCAAAACTGAATTTAATTGTTCGGAAAGATTAAAAGAAGCTGCCTTTTTTATTTCGACAACATTCTGTTTTAGTGCTCTAGAGTTATGAGGACTTTAACTTCAAATTTAGTAAATATGTCACATGTTGTACCTGAAATTAAGTAAATGTTTGCTTTGAGGAAACTTTCCATAATTGTTAGAAGTGTTAAAAGTAAAGTATCATTTGATTTGAAAAGTTTCTAATTTGATATTCCAGATTTTTTGGACTCTATCCGCCAGATTAATAAAAGGTCATATTCAAGCTTTAGCTCTAGTATGCTTGGATTGAATTACAACAAATTGTAAACTTTTGTTGGAAATGGTGAATGCAGACTTGCTTTTAATTTTGCAAATTTTCTGGTATGTTATTCCAGAATTATGAGACGTTTAACAGTTTAATATTTGATGCAATATTGATATGCTTAGTGAACGAATATTTTATTTTGACGGTGATTTTTGTATCTTTTTGAAACTTTCTATTGTACAATGCAAACATCAAATCATTAATTGTTTTTGTTGCTTATAACTTGTTCAAAACTTAACATTAGATGTAATGAGAAAAACAATCTCCTTCAGAAAATAAATTTTCCATTTACCTTGTCAATTTTTCAATTTCCTCAGAATTGGGAAACAAATGTTTTTTTTTTAAAGAAAAATCATTGTCCCCAACCTATTTTTAGAGTTAAATGTTCGCTCCGTAAAGGATATATATATTCATGCAATTTTGTAACTTAACCATTTTAACACAACTTCAATTAGATGCCTTATACTAAATATTTAACTTTATTCTCTTACGATTTCAATATACACAAGACGGGTGTATTATGAGCTTTCTGTGTAGCTGATTATTGTATAGTCTGCTACAAAGGTCGCAAAGGTGAGACATAGCAATCCTACATTCAATCATCATTGTCAACAATTATGTTAAGTCTATGATTAAAATGTTTCTCAGACATCAATAAGGACTAAACAAAACTACCTGTGTTTCTTCTGATCCTTTCAGCCTACAATAAATTTTAGTGCCTACTCTAAATTTGATGGTTAACGAATTTTGTAATAATAGGGTAGGAATACGAAACGCTTACCGATCCGTTAACATGGTAAATGTGTGATGCCAAATAACCGAATATAACTAAACAAACTATGTTTACCTGACAGTGTGTAACATTATAGTTGTCACTATTGTTGCAAACACGGGGGGGGGGGGGGGGGGGGGTAATTTTGTGTTGCTCAATATTTGATTTTCTGTGTTGTGCTTTGTGGACTGTTTTTTTTTTCCTTTTCTTCGTACTTGTTAATCACCATGTTGTCTTTCTGGTCGACTTGCGGTTTTTTATTGCATCCAACGTATACATATTTATCTTACCTCCATTACATTTCTAGGAATATGATTGGTTAAAAGCAACTGCGTGGACACCGTGTATATGTCATATTAGGTTAGTAGGGTTCCATATTGGGTTAGTAGGCGGGGCTTATTTCAATACACGGTTAGTAGTGGTGTTACGTCCCTTTATAAGAACAACACGGTGTTGAGGAAAAATTTTCAACAGACGAAGAAATTGATGATGAACGATTGAAATAAATTCATAAAACACATTTAAAGCTAACAAGTTGTTATTGCTGGCATTTGTTTTTGTATAGACCAATGGGAGTAGGTTCTTAATATTGACGGCATTGAAGACTTGATCACTTTGATAGGCCACTAGTCTAAATACCACATGTTAAGATAGTCGGTAAGATAAATTCGTTACATGGTTCTCTTTCAACTCATATGGAATCTACTGACCCCATATATATCGTATTAGGTCACTAGCACACTATGTAACTAATAATATTCCCTTCCTTATGAGTATGATACATTTATATCAATATCGATTCTATGGTGGAAACCGATCTCAGAAAAAAACAACAGTGAAACGTATCAATACAAGATTATTTTCTTATATTTTTTTTTTTTTTTGTTAATAGAAAGTCTTTTTGGTTCTCTAATGCAATTTTATAACTTACAAATCTGTTCGTGCAATTTTCATTGTTATTCAACGCAAAATAATTATCTAAGATACCTGGGACGATCTCATTTAATAAAGAATCTCTTTTGTTTACTTATTGTACCTCGAACTTATTAACCCAGTGTAGGTCTTTACGTTGCGGGTTTATTTACTAAAAGTTAATCGGGCATGACTAATTTGGCACGTCCTATTAGAATCAGGGGGTCCAAAATAGGATCTGATAAAAACAACCAGCGAAATACCATAATTTACAATTTCAGAGAGTCAAAGTGCTTTTTGACTAATTTAATATCTCCGTTCAAAAATCAGACGGTATTTTGAGGGGAATACAAACATGTTCGAAACCGGGAAATGTTGGCTGCAATAGGAATTTATTTACAAAATAAGTCCATATCTCATTTACTTATAGTGGTCGTTAATGATTGTATATTCGTGTCGTTTTGTTTTTGGTATTCGTCTACCGATGAGAAAAAAAAGAGGGAAAACAGGAAAGGGGGGGGGGGGGGGGGGTGGGAGGGAGAGGGGGTGCTAATAGCTTAACTTACGATTTTAATCATGGTTCACCTTTATTCTAGTACGATATACATTTAACCTCTAGTCAACGCTCTATCTTATTTAAGTGTCACTCTAAAATTGTTATAATTTGCTGCAGGTCGATCCGTTTTGTATCTCGTCGTGCATATGTATGACATATTTGCCACTGGACATCAAGGAGGCAAGCAATTAATCAGCTGCATTAAGTGACGTATAATCATTAGTCTTCATTTGATTATTGTCTCAAACAGTATTTATTTATTTGATTTTTATTCATATTTGATATTTTAAGCGTATCTTTAGCATTTCTTTCCTCATTTTTCTCTTTGCATTTAATTTTTTTCAACATTAAATAACGTAGTCCACACCAGGGGTTACAAATGTACATTGTATTCTATCCAGCCTAGTAGGAGGGGAGAAGAACAGAAAAAAATCTTCTGTAAGTGGCAATAACTCATATATTGAACCGTACAACGACGGCAGTCTCTTCTAGGTGACAAGTGTCAATTTTTTTTTAATATCTGGTATAGTTGTCATAAAAGCAAAAATGGATAAAAAAAAATGTTGGCAACAATTTATCTTTAGATATTGTCTTACTGAGCGGTTTAGTTATTTAAAGATTTTTTCATTTACAATCGACTTATTTGAAGATTTAGCTGACCTTTGTTGTTGTTAAGAGATTTCAGTCACTTGACTTGTGCGTAGATCGTATTTCCTCCTCAGAATTATTCAAATTTTTTTTAACGTATAGTTAGCGTGAAACTATCACTACACTATGCATCGGATATACGACATTTCTATTTCGACCGGACGAAGCTGCGTGTTTATACATCCGAACTGACAAACTGACGCACCCCTTTAGCAAGGGTATATTGTCGGACCGGAGATATCGTAAGTGAGTCTCGCGAGATTTGACCAAATACAATCAGTTTGGCCGCTGCTATCAAGCGTGAAGCACGGACTTTTACTGCTCTTGAGTAGAGCGTGGTTGGACTTCTCTTAAGTAGAGCATTTTCTTACTGTGGAAGTAAGTTTTTTAATCTTTGTTAAATGTAATGAATGTTTTTAATATATTTTGTTAACAACAGCCTGGAGATTTGGAAGCTGTTTTGTAATTAATATACTTTAATGGAGTTTGCGTCTGCATTGGTTGCGACGCGTGTTGAGGAAATGTCCTGTAAGTCGGGAAGTTTGTTTTAGCTAAATACATGTACATGTTTAAAGTGGCGTTTGCATAGGTTGCGGCGTTTTATTAAGAAGGTTGTGGCGTTTTATTCAGAAGGTTGCGGCGTTTTATTAAGAGGCTGCCAAGATTCTGCCAATTGCAGGCTGATTTTGTTTTGATGTAACTATTTTCGACTTGCCACTTTTCTGACTTATCTGAACTTATAGTTAATGTAACTGTTTACTTTTAATTTTATTCTCTTTGCGTTGGTTTAAAATTTAGTTAATTACGGGTCTTTGGTTAATATATCTCGGATAAGTAGTTTCCGTATTTTGTATCTTTGTCGAAGTAATGAAAATAATAAGGAAAATGCTTTGCTTAGGTCAGTTAGCAATTTTAAGACTTTGAATGCATTTATTTTTATGAAATATATCCATCAAAATGTTCATAAGTCTAGGTAATTTTTATCCTTACTTTTAGGCGAGGACTGCCCGCACTGCACGATTTTTTAATGCTATTTTAATGTTGTTTTTTTTTTCAGATATGGCTCAGGTGTTAAAACCTAACTGTTCCCTTGTGGGTAAAAGTCTTATTCCTATAATATTGAGAGTTAAAGCTGCAGACGCTGACGTAGATGTCGTAGAGTTGTCCCGGTTTAAGAAGGACGAACCCCTGGAGAGTTTTTCTAAAGCTGCGTTGATAGCGGAATTTGAGAAATTGACGGGTAAGTAATAATTGAGGGTGGTAAAGGGGGGTCTGAGAACGGAAACACATAAAATAAAAACCTCAAAACGTTGAAGCGCGAAGCACGAGAAATAAGGACAAGATAAGTAATAAAATTTAATAGTCAGCCATCCGTGAAGTTATCACAAGGTCCATTTAGAAACTGTTAATTGCGTCTGTTATGTAAATGCATACAGATGAAATTTAATCGATGTTATTACATCGGTTTAGTTTTTTACACGAAATACAGGTCATGCACGAGAAATTAGATGTCTGGGCATGAAGCACGGAAAATAAATTAAAGTAAGCACGAAGCACGTGTATACATGCAAACACGAGAATACGAAGAACACGAAAGCATGGAAAATTAAAAAGGCCGAACATTTTGCACGTATATAACCCTTTACCATGCAGCCTCATAATTTATTACGTTTTTCTAAGACTTTTTCAAACCTACAGTTTAAAGTTTATATAGCTTTAAAATTTGATATTTGGCTATCGCATTGGCTGATAATGTTTCAGTTTTAGATATGTGACAGTTTAATTTTGAAATGTTAAGTTGATTCTTGTTGTTGGATGTTATTATATAAACGAGTTGCCAATGAGTTTTTTCGTTTTCACGGTTCGTGATTTTACACATAGTACTCTATCAGTTGCGTTTAATTGATCAATGATTTTATTTATATCCAGGTGAATCAGTTAAGGATGTATCAACTCTGTGTGGAAAGAATGATTCTATTGAGAATGTGAGATTACTTGTGCATGAGAGCATCATTTTGGCCAATTCTTTGGGGCTAGAGGTCAGAGGTTGAGCAGTCAAAACACTTCACCAACAGAAACGCCAGCGGCTAAAGGTATAGAATGTTTCTTTTTTACCTTATTCGTGTTAATAATTTTGTGCAGGTTAGGTTGTTTGTCTGCCCTTATTTAGCCTTTTTATTAAGTGTTTTTGTGAAGGTAGTCTCACTTTAATTTGAAACTTAAGGTTTATGAACCCTTATGTAGACCTGTGTATTTCTAAAGGGAAATGTCCTTCACAGCAATAATAATTATTTCTGTCAGAAACATCATTGCATTTAATAGAAAATGTGGATTTTGTGGCTAACAAGCCTATATTTTTACAGAATACAGACTTTACAGAGATTCTCGTTATAGCATTTTAAACATAGATTACTCACTTCTCTGTCCATGATGTGATAGACTGTTTATTGTTTACAAAGTCCTTTATAATCTTTATAATCAGCACACATTAGAAGGTGTACTTGAATAGGTCTACATTTGTATTTATATTTAACTATTTTTGTTATTTTAAACTTCATTTAGGGAAATCAGTGTTAGCACTACTTGCATGAATCTATTTATACAGAATTGTCAAACATAAAGAGTACAAGGGGAAAGGCTGCGGATTTTCTCTAAATTTCCATATGTTTAGCATTTGAAACAACAAAAAGGGTATATAATTTTTATTTGGTTTTACGCACTTACCGTTTACAGCTTAGGTATGTAATTGAGGTCAAGGCATTGTCTTGTAGTCATATTACTTGTATTTGTTAATTTGACATTTTGAGTAAGCTATTGTTAGGATGTTATATTAATTTCCCTCTTGTTTGGCTGTTGTAGGAAGTGGTACTAAAGCTGTCCCTGGTGAACCATGTACTAATCAGCAGCTGCAAGCCATGAGGCAGGATTTAGATGAATTAAAGAACAAATCAAAAGATATACAGGTAGATGAAGCACTATCTTATGTTAGGACATTGGCAGCAAGACCAAAACTTACAACACCGGGAGTATTGCTTGCGGCCATCGAAATGTTGGTTGATGCAGCTAACAAAGCGAATCATAAAGACTGTTCATTATTTTCAAAATCCTTTGCCATGTGTTAAAAATTTGAAGATCATGTTGATTTTTGTGGGCTTGTGTTAAAATTGTTTGGTTCCCAGGAGGACAAGAAGATTTCCTCCTTAATTTCAGACTGGGCAAAATCTAAGAAATACGAGGAACCATCAGGGTCAAAGGAGAGGCAGGAAAAATTAGATGCACCACCTGCTTCAGCTTCTGGATTTCCATTTCCTGGATATGGGTTTCAAAATCCAGGTTTTGGTTTTCCATATCCAAATTTTTATCCGGGGCCAAACTTTAATACTGGTGGTTTTCGGCCTCCCAGAATGCAAGGAAGTAGAGGTAGGGGAGGTTCTAACGGTGTTTGCTACTTTTGCAAGGAGTCAGGACATTTTATTGCCAATTGTCCAAAAATGAAGAAAGATAATTAATTTTGTGTATTTTTGTATTTTGTGTATTTTTGTATTTTGTGTATTTTGCTTTGTTATTTTATTTTATTTTATTTTTTTTTTTTTTTATACCTTTCCCTTCCCAGGAGCTTCGATCTCCAGTGAAATTTTTCACGCGGGTAAGGGTTGAGTGTCTCTCCTTTAAAATAATTTGTAAATACTGAGCATTTTTTAGATGTGAAAGGATATTTTTTGTTAATTTCAGAATATCAGGGATCATGAACCTTTGGTTAAGAAAGAAAAGTTTGAGCCAGAAATTCCAGATTGGGAGTTAAAATCGGGTTTCGATCCATCACGAGTTAAATTAAGAAAGCAAGGTGACATACTTTCAGTAAATTGTTAAGGAGAGATCACCCAACCCTCTGTTTGTTTGCCTAAGGCTGAAGAGGTTGTAAATGGTAGTGACTTTAATTTTGAGGATCTGTCTTTTTTAGATCCTAATTTTTTCAAAGCAGGAAATTTGATGTATTGTTCAGAACAATGGGAGTAAATAGGTTGTCCTGATGAAATTTTGGACTGGATTAAAAACGGGGTAGATATTCAGCCCATGTTTAAACATTTTAAGGGAAATTTTAAGGGGCATAGTTATGATTCAAACCTTCCTCAACCTGTATATTTTCAAAACTCTGCTAGTTGTAAAGGATTTGTCTCGGACACTTTATTAGAAAGAATAGCCAATGGATCTTTAACTGTACTTGGTAGAGTTGGAGAATGTGATCCCCCTTTACTTGTTTTACCTATCACCATTGAACCATCAAAACCCTGTATGTGCCATGATGAAAGATACCTGAACTTGTGGATTAAGGATCTCCCTTTCTCTTTAGATACTCTCAAAGAGGTTCCTAGATTATTAGAGAAGGATTCGTTCATGGCATCTCTTGTCTGGTTATGATCATATACTTTTAAATCCTAATTCTAGACAGTATTTCGGAATCCAGTTTGCAGGCTGGTACTTGGTTTTCAACTCCCTCCCATTCGGCTTCAAAGCCAGTGCTTATATTTATCACACTACCGGTCTGGTTCCAATCAGCTATTGTCGCTCCCTTGGTGTACCTTCTTTATTGTATATAGACGATAGGTTAGTTTGTGAGTTTAAAGGTACTAATTTGAAGATAGGATCGGGACGTGCAGAAATGGCAGAAAAAAGTCTGTACATTCTATGTCAGGTTCTTGTTAGATTGGGATATTTCATTAATTTGGCTAAGTGTTGTTTTATACCAACCAGGTGTTTGAAATTCTTGGGAATGTTTTGTGACTCAACTGAACTGGCCTTTATCTTGTCGGGGCCGAAAAAAGAATCGTTTAGAGTTTTAAGGGAATCTATCCTTGATGGCAATGAAGTGGGCATTAAAACCCTGCAACGTTTTGCAGGAAAATGTGTTTCATTTTTTCTTGCTATCCCCTCTGCTAGATTGTTTTCAAGGGAAATCAATAGGGCCATTAGCCTTGCTTCTAGAAATAGCAAAAAAATTTGCATTTACAAAGAGTTAAAGGACGAGTTAGAGTATTGGCGTTTTCTGGATAACTGGGAGTGAGCTGCCTCCTGGAGATTAGAAACCCATTTACAATTGATTTTAGCAACTGACTCGTCGCTTTTTAAGTGGGGTGCCTTTATGATTTTCAAAGGGGTTTCAGTAGAATTTGGTGATTTTTGGAAAGACTACGATAACGCTCCTATCCATGTTAAAGAGGCAAATGCCCTACTCCACTCTCTCTGTTCTGTTAAGGAGAAAATTGTTAATGCTCGGGTAGACGCGTTTTGTGATAATCTTGCTGTAGTTAATGCTTGGAGTAATCAAGGTGGTAGGGACCCCTCTTTGAATGCAGTTTTGCGGAAAATATTCACTCTTTCAAAAACGGTTAATATGGACCTACGTCTTGTGTATGTTAATTCTAGTAGAAACCCTGCTGACAGGGAGTCCAGAAGGTTAAGATTGTCAGATGCTATGTTGTCTCCTCTGAAATGGAACTTTGTCGAACAGAGGTTTGGTCCCCACACTACAGATTTGATGGCTTTAGATTCCAATGTTATGATTGATAAAATTGGTAATCCGTTAAAACATTTTACACCATTCCCCACAGTTCTTTCAGATGGTGTAAATGTTTTCTCTCAAGAATTGAAGTTAGAGAAAAACCCTTATGTGTTCCCCCCTTTTTGTTTAATTTTTGCAGTTTTGAAGTTTTGTGCTCAAATCGGGGTCAGAAGTTGTACATTTGTGGTTCCTGAATTGTTCCCAAGACCAGTTTGGTGGCCTTTTTTCTGGGAACATGTGTCAGAATGGAATGTTTTAGCTCGACAAAATGAACTTGAAGCTCTGTTGTACCCATCTGCTAAAGGTTTTAAGATAGACACTAATGGTTTACCTTGGCGTTTAATTGTCGCACGACTCCATTTTTAGTTTAACCTTTTTGTAGAATGCTGTACCACGAGTTTGGCTTCCAGCAGAACAGTGTTTAGTGTGTGGTTATGCAAATGATGTTGGATATCAGTTGTGCCAGTCATGTGGACAAAAACCTGTTATGATTGATAGTTCTGAAGAAAGCACAAGTGATTGTGCAGTTGAAAGACGTCTGCGATATTTAGACAATTTGGTCGGAAATACTAGTTATAATAGGAAAAAGCTTTCGCTGGAAAAGGCGTTTGAGAAGTTTTTGTCTGAAAGTGTACCCGTTAAATGTATAAAGTCTGCTTCCCCTTTAGATGTTAGGCGATTTATGGTCATGAAGGATTCAAAGGGAAAAACTCAAGTACATGACTTGTCTTGTGAATTTCTTGGTAAGTTAGGTATTTATTCATGTCAGTGTCCGTTGAGGTTGGCGGCGGGAACTGTTCAGTCTATGCTAGGACAATTAAAGGCTATATTTGAATCTAATGGTCGGAGTTCTGCGTGGAATGCAATAACTGACACTGGTAATCCTGTGTGTAGTCCAGAAGTAGAAAAATATTTGCATGCTATTCAGTTTGAGCAGTCAAAATCACATGTTGTACAAAAACAAGCAAAGCCTCTGTTTTTAGACAAACTCCGATCAATTAGTGTTCATATCGATGATTTGTTGATGAATCCCGATTTGAAACCATCCGAAAGATTCATATTTTTAAGGGATCAGGCTTTCTTCAAAGTTCAATATTTTTCAGGAGATAGAGCGAATGACTTGGGTTTGTGTATTTCACAAGAGGTTAAGTTATTACCAAAAGGTGATCGTTTTCTTTTTTCACACACTGTAGGCAAAACTCTTGGAAAGGGGAAGGTGAATGAATTTTCCATCTTGAGATTTGATGATACTTTGATTTGTCCTGTTGAAGCCCTGGAAAGGTATGTTAAAAGTGCCAGGGCGCTTGGGGTTGATTTAAGGTTTGGTTATTTATTCCGTACTTTGAGTAAAAATAGAAAAGAGGTTACTGACAATCCTGTATCTTCCAATGCTATGTATGATCGCTTGAAGAAATATTTAAAGAAACTCGATATTTACGACGGCGAGACCCCTCATGGAATTCGGGGAGCGTGTGCTATTACTTTGGCATTGTCAGGGGGGCCTGCAAATGACGTCATGCAGCATATAGGTTGGTCTTCCTCATCTTCTTACCAAAGATACAATAGAATGTCCAGTATGGTAGGACGAGGGTCAGTCAGTTCCATCATGGCGAATACGGGGGCTTCTGAATCTAATATTTGTAGATCTATTTTTGAGTCGTATTGTGAGGTCAATAAACTTTCCAGTGCTTTTCAGTGACAATTTGAAGTGTTTTGGAGTAACAGTTTGTTACTATTAAATGCATTGTTAAATTTGATTTTGTATTTTTGAGGGACTTTATGTATTACTACTATTTATGTATGTCGAATATGACTTGCCTGCATTTTGAGGGATATTATGCATCGCCATTATTTATGTATTTTGAAATTGAGAATTTGTTTAAATAAGACTTGCCTGTATTTTTGAGGAATATTATGTGTGACTGTATTATCTATGTTGAAATTGAGAATTTGTCGTGTAAGGATTGTATCGAATATACTTTTCTTTAATAAATATTTCTTTTCTTTAATTCGTTTTTACTTAATTTGTTTTATTGAGTTTCGAGGAAGTGTTTCTATTCTAATTAGAAATCATGTTGACAACAAATTACACATGTCATATTAAGTGAAAATTCATATTTATTTGCGTAAGCCTTAGGGTAGATATTTGAAGGACATTTCCTGATGATGAAAATGAACGGATAAAGGGCAAGGGCACTAAGACATTACTTAACCACCCGATGTTATACATAAAATACATCTAGAGCTTCCAATTTGATTGTCAATGCAGCAGAAACTACCACATAACAGATAGTACACTCTGGATGTCCCCAAACAACAGTTAATCCGAATATATTAACACTTTACAGTTAGGTCATAGGTTATATGTGTATATTGAAGAATTCACGATTTAGAACGTGAAAGTCAGAAAAACATAAAAGCAAGAGGTCAATTCAGGTGCACGAAAGATGATTGATTGAATGGGGTTTAACGCCACTGTCGGCAGTATTTCAGCTATATCGTTGCGGTCATTTTTAGTGGCGGAGGAAGCCGGAGTACCCGGAGGGAAACTACGATCTTCGGCAGGTAACTGACAAACTTTATCCCGTACGGTTGCAAGTCGAGTGCACCTTTTTTGTTGTTGTTTACAAAGCGAGGTGCGAACTCGCAACGCAGAGGTGACATGGTACAGTAATTTTACAGGTAAACTTAACTACCTTAACCACTAGGCCACCCAGGCGCCCACGGAAGAAAGAGCAGTCGGCATATCCTGCTTTGATCAGTTTTCTGTATGAGATTTCATAACTGTGGTTTGCTTGGATTGGCTTCGTTTGTGATATTTCAATTATTTTTGATGGTTTCGAAAATAACTCATTCATTGAAGAATTTGACGTATTTATTTATACAAGACAATATTTAAGTTTTGGGTGAGTATTGGGAATGTTGAGGGTTGTAGTTAGGAATTGTAAGAATATTGTCGTTATAGTATTGAGGTCTGCTGTGAAACCCAATTTTCGCCCAATACTTACAGAAATTTGGTCATATTGAGCATGGACTTACTTATGATATTATTATATCGTAAGTGAGTCTCGCGAGATTTGACCAAATACAATCAGTTTGGCCGCTGCTATCAGAGCAAAGTGGGACTTGCACATGCTCTGTGTATGATATGGGCACAAATCAGGACTTAACATGCTCTGTGTATGATGTCGGTACAAAGCGGGACTTTCACCAAAAAAAAAAAAAGTTCATGTATCTCGATATGGCTAAGTTCAAACCCAATTTTCGCCCAATACTTACAGAAATTTGGTCATATTGAGCATGGACTTACTTATGATATTATTAAGTCTAGAGAAGTCAATATTTCTATGTCCAAGTCAATCCTATGGTTTTGAATAAAAGGAGATAAAGGTATACATTAATTTGACAGGAACCAAACGACACAGACAAATCAAAACATTAAGAGTCAACATACAGTCTTTTTGTAATAGAAAGATGCCTATACAGTACAATAACCTCAAAACCCGCCCCATGACTAAAAAATACGGATTTAATTTAATAACATTACCCGTCAAAGATACCCAAACAGACACAAGTGTTTGGTATAAAAATATCACCTGCCCTTCTTTAATTTCGATCGTTGGAAATTAAAGAACGTGCAATATAAACCATTAGAAGAAAAACACTTCACTGTATAGTAACGGTAACATAAATGATGGTAATGGATGACGTCTAGCGGCAATTTAAATGCATATTCAGGACGAAAACGTGTAAATTTAGTATATAATTAAACCTTATATAAGAATGCCGGATTTTGATTGGTTGGTAGCCAGTGTATTGTTCGCATTTTTAACCTCTTTTCCTCATTTCAAACGAATTTGCCTGTTTTTCACCACTGCCGGTGAATATGCCTCAAATTCTCCTCTATGTCGTGGTATTTGCCATTTTGGATACACCTTTTTTACCCTCGCGTGCCACTTCCCGCCAAAATTATTCGGACCCTTTCTCACTCTATCCCGATTATTAAGGCAACATGATTAAGCAATATCGATTGATAGAAGTAATCCGTATATTGAAGAATGCGTTGTGTATATAAAGTGGAACAAGACGTTTATACAAATGAACGATTGAATGATGGAAGGACAATGACGTTTACACAAAGATACCATGACGTTACATCAAGACAGCGTTAACGCGTATACATGTATAATTCCCGCGGTACTATGATAGTCTCTACTTATCCTCAAAATTATGCATAAACATGTTTATGGATTACAGCTTACTAGTAAAAAAAAAGATTTCCCTTCACCTGTACAGAGAGTTTCAATAAAAATCTATTCGTTGTAGTTAAACAGATATGTCATGCTATGGAGAGGTATTTGCGAAAAATACCAGTCTTGAGACCAAATTTCCCTCGCCTGACGGCTTTGTAAATTTCACAGTCCTTTGATTGGTATTTTTCGCAAATAACCCTCCATAACATGATATATCTGTTCAATATGAATATTAACCCTGCTTTGTAATAGACCAACATGCTGAGTCGGATTTTTAACGTGTAAGTTTACAAGCTAACAGTTCGCAGGAAGAAAAGTCACCCTACCCAGACACATTTCTAACTCAATTCCTACATGTCTGTGCTCTTAAACTGTTAAATGCCGCATGTTAAGCGTTGAAACAGCAAATACCAATTTTAACGTCTATGTCTGAACCGGTTGGGAAACCAACGACCTCCCGCTCTCGAGGCAAACACACTCCTGCGAGACCAACCAGGAGAGCGGTAGTATAGAATATCATACCAAAACTCGAGAAACAAGAATCAATACAGTTTCACAGATTCTGAATTTAATTACACCTTATGTAAGAATCCTGGGTTTTGATTGGTTGATAGCCAGTGTATTTTTCACCAATTTACTGTTATCAAATGAATATCGTTCATTTTTTAACGCCGCCGGGGTATATGCAAAAAGGATATGCCTTTTTTACCCTCTCTGCCATGGTATTTGCCAAATAATTACACCTTATGTAAGAATCCTGGGTTTTGATTGGTTGATAGCCAGTGTATTTTTCACCAATTTACTGTTATCAAATGAATATCGTTCATTTTTTAACGCCGCCGGGGTATATGCAAAAAGGATATGCCTTTTTTACCCTCTCTGCCATGGTATTTGCCAAATAATTACACCTTATGTAAGAATCCTGGGTTTTGATTGGTTGATAGCCAGTGTATTTTTCACCAATTTACTGTTATCAAATGAATATCGTTCATTTTTTAACGCCGCTGGGGTATATGCAAAAAGGATATGCCTTTTTTACCCTCTCTGCCTTGGTATTTGCCAAAAAATACTCTATCCTACTGGACGCTTGTAACGTCACGATCATCAATGCGTTTTTGAACGTTAACATTCGGTGTAATTAAACAGATATAGCATGTTCTTGAGGGGTATTTGCGAAAAATACCAGTCTTGATAATGAATTTCCCTCGCCTTACGGCTCGCGAAATTTAACATTCTCTCGACTGGTATTTTTCGCAAATACCCCTCCTTAACATGATATATCTGTTTAAAATACTCTATCCGACTGGACGCTTGTAACGTCACAATCATCAATGCGTTTTTGAACGTTAACATTCGGTGTAATTAAACAGATATAGCATGTTCTTGAGGGGTGTTTGCGAAAAATATTAGTCTTGAGAATGAATTTCCCTCGCCTTACGGCTTGCGAAATTTAACATTCTCTCGACTGGTATTTTTTCGCAAATACCTCTCCTTAACATGATATATCTGTTCAAAATTAAGCGAGCTAAAAGTATCTAACCTAAATTAGATGCTTTAAATGATATTGGAAACTACACGTAAATATCGATGGCCACATTCAGAGTAAACTTGATGGATCAACGCTCTCTTTAAATTAAAAACTCTTGCACCAAATATTTGAGAGGTCCGGATGTTGCCAGCTGTTACAAGGCTAAATTTCTGTCCTAATTCAATATACCCTCAATTTCCAGAAGTATACCAAGTTTCACATTCAATCTCACTGTCGATCTCCTATTGCAAGATCTACCTATTTTATTTAAAATTTATGTGTTCTCGTCATGAACATGCATGAAATATTTGCCGCTGGCAAATAACTATCAATCAACTTCATAAATTATTCCATGTACATAGCACATGAAGACAAGATCTTGTCAAATGCTATAATGTAAAGTTTCCATTTAAATCACTAAATAACACTGTAACAATTTTTATGTTTGTTGGGGGTTATTTCTTGCATTTTACTACCTAACCACGTGATAACAAATGGAACTGAACATTTTCTGAAGAAACGGTTGGATAAACCTGGTTTTATAGCCAGCAAAAATTCCCATTTGTTAGACTTGAATTCATAGTTCCATTTTATTGCACAATAATATTACTTACTTATCATGCTTATAAGCACCGTAACTGCGACACGTGCTCCCTTTCTATACTTCGCTATGCCGTAGTTCACTGAATATGTAATAGAAAAAACATGACAATATTTGATATTTGTTTTATTATTATTAGCAAAAACAGGCAAACATTTTTTGAAATACTAATTGTAAAAACGCGTCTAGTATTCCCTAAGTATTCAAAACATACACATTAAACTACTTTTCATCTAAAACGGTCATTTGTTATCAACAGCTCTTTAAAGACTAAATAATGAATAATAGTCTATAGGCCATTTCCAGTCTTTCAGTCAATTGTCTAACTTATTCACTGCGGTAAATCTCGTACTATTCACACAATTCGTGTTTTGTCAATTAAGATCAGTTCTGTCTAAGTTCAGAATTTTCAGAAGTCGTTATTTACCTTTACAAACCTGTTCGTGCATTTTTCATTGTTATTCAACTAAGCGAGCTTAAAATATCTAATCTAAATTACAATTAAGATACGTTAAATGATAATCGAAACTACACGTGAATATCGATTGTCGACTTTAGAGTAGATTTCATGGATCAACATTCTCGGTAAATTTAAAAACTCTTGCACCAATTATTTGAGGGGTCCGGATGTGGTTAACTAGACTAACAACTTGAAGGCTACATTTCTACCCTTATTCAATATATCCTCATTTTGAGTGGTATTCCAAGTATCTTGTCCAACCTCACTGTCGACCTCCTAATGTAAGACCTACCTGTTGTATTTAAAATTTGTCTTCTCGTCATGAACATGCATGAAATATTTGCCACTGGACGTAAGACGTAAAAAAAACAATAATCAATTAACTTCATAAATAATTCCATGTACATAGTACACGTAGACAAGATCTTGTATAATGCTATAATATAAAATTTCCTTTTAAATAGCTCAATAAAATAGTGCAAAATTTATTTATTTTTGCAATTTACTACATGACTGAACACTAATAATTTTTTTTTTTTAAATATTTCTATTATGGTTCTTATCTACTGTCTTATTACGATTCATAATATATGATTAGGGGACGACTAATTGAAATTCTAGGGGGGACGGGCAACAATGTATTGAAAATAAATAACTCGGTATGTCTTTCAAACCATTTTGAAAATGCATGTTTTAAAGTATGAGATGGCACCAGATTCTACCAAAACTCGTCTTTTTATATTTTTTCGGGAAAAACTTCCCAAATCTATTATTTATATATATACTACACCATATATATAAATTAATGTTCTTGAAATGTCTGAAAATGGGTTTCATATCACTTGAAGTATATCGTCGCATGGACATTTACCTCACTTTAATACCTTTTCCCATTTTAACCTATATGTATATTGTGTTGTACGTTTGCAATATATGCAGTTTTGAATTCAGAAGATTCACTTCCAGAGGATGATGATTAATTTGGATTAATTGGTACAGAATGTATTTAATCTTATTGAGTTATATTAAAATTAGTCGGGTCCAGGACCAATCCAGTACATCTTATTATAATCCTTTGTAATAAATTCCATTTTCTTTCTTTATATTCCATTTGATTTAATCTTTTTTCCGTTAATTTGTCATGCATGATATTTCATCTTTTATTTGATTTTATCTTAATATATCCTTTTTTTATTTTTTCATGTAATAGATACCCCTTTACATTTGTATGTCGTCTGTATGCTATAGGAAACTTTGAAAATAGTATTTTTGTTTTTCTGTTTTGTTCGATAAGACACCAATGTTTTCTTGTAGCTCTGCCGATTCCTTTAAATGCCGGATTACATCTCGTTGCAAAAACGAGTCGAGTGGTGGAGCCGCTTTTTTATTTTCATATTTATTTTTAAAATTCTTTTTTTCTTATTTTTTGTTATAATATTGTCGATCTCATTTTTGGCAATGTCATCTTTTAGGAAGTTTAGACTTAAAAAGTTGAACTTCTTCATAGAGGTGTTTTTGGTTGTTGCAAGACCTACATGTAGTAAAGCGAATAATTTCTGCAGTTATGAAGCCTTTGAATACTGACGTAGGGTGGGCTGATGTTTGTTCAAGATATTGAAAATTATCAGTTGTTTTTCTATATAGTTTAATGTCTTAAATTAGATTTTTTTTTCAAATCGTTCACCTTTGAAGACAGTAATATGTCCAGATATTGAATAATAACCCCTTCTAACTAATCTTTGGAGGGCAGGAATTTGATATTTGAAATGTACACATTATGACCTTTAGTATTCCCATACGTAGAAATTAAATTCTTAATATTACAAAAAGGAAAAGATATGACCAAGGATACGGATTACCTGACGAGGACAGACATAGGTCTATACGAACTTAACCGAAACATCTGTTATATACTAAGGAACACATACTCAGCTCTGTGATTTTTTTCTAAGAATACACACACTATTTAAATTACATGCACGTTTGCATTTCTTTTAAAGTACAAAAATGAATGCTGGAAAGAGTATTCCATAACAAAAAATTATAATCATACATTGCGTAAATAATTCTAGATAACTCGAGATACATGAACATAGAAAATGGATTTTTTTTAAAGGGTTATAATAAGATATACTGGATTGTTCCTTGACCCGACTGATTTTAATATATAATTGTGAAAATAAATGCATGTGTAGTCAGTCAATTGTTGTACTGAAAATAAAAAATCGTGCTTCAACAGTGCAGAAAATAACTAATCAGTTCTTATTGTCCACAAAAATAAAAAATAAAAAAAAATAAAAAATTCTCCTTACAAGATTTATTAATTAATTGGACTGAGCAGACAACATGAATCATTTTGCTTTTGCACGTTTCGTATTGTAGGAAAATCACAGAATCAAAACCCAAATATACATTTAACTGATATGATGAAGGACCTTATGCATCTAAGTCTGTTCGATTAGAAGTTTTGAAACAAGTTATTTGAATAACTAATTGTTTGAAGAGATTACTTACTGTTTTCATTTGGTCTGGTTTTTACGAATTGATTTCACGATTACTGACAGATTAAAAACCTCAAATATATATAACAAGAAGTTTTTGTGCAGAACATCAATTGGTCAGTTATAAATGAGGTCTGTACAGGGTTTTGATTTACTAATTTTAAAATAAAAAATCGTTATTTTGAAAAGTTTGAATTTAAAAATATACACCTTAAATTAATAACACTATCCTATGGTGTTCTTTTAATGCTAAACCAAATGTAATAATTAAATAATTAAATGATGCACTGCCATTTAATCGTCCATTTTCAGTGCAATTAGGTTACTGTTATATATCAGTCTGAGAACGGTTTAACTATCATTTAAGATAATATATTTATGCTCGTCAAATTCAGGGGAATGAGGCCTGTGCAAGTGCTTTTTTTTGCGTACTTTTCTTATGTTTTTGATGGTTTCTAAGTCAGTAAAAGTTCAATGATTAAGTTAGTATTGACTGTAAAAGACCTCCTCACAAAAAAGGCTCGAGAATCTCAACATTCCATTTTATTCGAAGGTCTTTTGATATCAATATTAACTTATCATTGAAATTTTACTATTATGTACACATCAGTATAACACTGAATTGTCTGATTGACTGTAGGAGAATTGTTTAAACAGTACTAAATTCACCGCAGTGGATAATCTGAAAAATGATCGCAAGACTATTCAGGACTTAAAAAAAACGCATTTAGTGTAACCACACATTAAACATACCATACCTGGTAAATAAGGTCCAAACCATGGAATGACAGTCGATAGTGTATCGGTATTTTCAGGCAACCTAATACAATATAAATACAATACAGATAACTAGACAGCATTGAGATGGGAGCCTTCTCTGTGGGCCCCACGGTAAATACATGTAATAGGTGACTATTTGACTATTAAGGATGTTAGTGGTTGAATCTCTTAGAGCAGGTTACATGTGCTATTAAACAGTACACCGGATGCACTTTACCCTTAATTTTAGAAATATAATATAAATGAAAAAAAAACTTCTTGAAATAGACACAGGTTATTTCGCATTACTTGTCAAGCCAGAGGTATGCCATTTAAATTGTTGGAACTTTGAATTGTATCTGTATTGACTAGATTAAATAGTTCTTGTGTTTACCTATAAACCACTCCATTTTTTCCAAGTACAGTAAATATTTTTATCATGTGGAAATCTATACGTCAGTAGTCCTAGGCTTGACAAAGATACACCAGATTGAATTAGTTGATTGGTTTAAATTTGTTGTGTTGCCAATACTTTATCGTGGTTTATTTTATCATTCAGAGTGATAACACAACATGTTCTGGTGAAGTTATATCTCCACATATAATAAATCACAAGAGAACAGAACTAAGCCAGTTGTATGGATTGATGGAAACAGACATAAAGATGAATTCTGCAGCAAATGTTAAGGACAACAATGACAATGATCAGCATCAGTTTTCGTGTGGTAAAAAAATTGCATGGATAAGCTGATATCACATATAATTACTCACAAGAGAACAGAACTAAGCAAGTTGTATGGATTGATGGAAACAGACATAAAGATGAATTCTGCAGCAAATGTCAAGGACAACAATGACAATGATCAGCATCAGTTTTCGAGTGGTAAAAAAATTGCATGGATAAGCTGATATCACATATAATTACTCACAAGAGAACAGAACTAAGCCAGTTGTATGGATTGATGGAAACAGACATAAAGATGAATTCTGCAGCAAATGTCAAGGACTACACTGACAATGATCAGCATCAGTTTTCATGTGGTAAAAAAATGTATGGATAAGCTGATATGAAGTTTGTTTTAAGTTATGACATAGTCTGGTTATGTGCTGAGAGTGATTTTATTCTTTGTTTTTTAGTTAAAGTGTTATATTTTGCCTACGAAATTGTACATACATTATGACACACTCTGTAGTGGTGGTTAATATACACGTCAAGTATAAACTTTGAAATCATAACGGTCCTCAAGATATAGAGCGGACATGATCTGTACCATAGGACATGGGGTTGTCAACTGAAAACCAAAGTTTTTGACCTTGACCTTTGACCTAGGAAGTTGTACAAACATTATGAAATACCCTCTGGTATTGGTTAATATACATGTCAAGTATAAAGTATGAAATTATAACGGTTATCTAGATATAGAGCGGACACAATTTGTTACGAACGGACGGACGGACTTATCACTATAGGGCGACCCGCCACTAGGCGGGGCCCTAATTACATAAAATTTGATAAACAGCTGTTCCTTACTCAGGAACAAATTATCATATTATCCTGAATGACAGAGAAAACACATAGAATATTTTCTAATGGTTTAAAGAATTGTTTATATAACAAAAATTATGATCTGACTTGTGTTCAACGTACCTATATTTTAGATTTTGGCAAACATTTCTTGGTGATTTTTTTCGAGGAAGAAAAATGAAAACAATAAACCTCGTTAGGATATGAGTTTGCACTTTGATTTTAAGTTACCGCACATACGGGTTATTAGTGAATACTGCTACTAGTTTTAGCTATAAAAAAACCAGCTAAGGATTAAAGATCAAGGTCATCGGTGATATTTCAGTTGAAAGTCAGTTTCAGGTTCACATCCTTTTTTTTTTTATGATTTAAAAGTAAAGCCTTCAAGCAGTTTCTCGGTCATAGATGATCAACCAAACGTTTTATGAAGTTTATGCACCTAATGCAATGTTAATATGATTTTATGTACATGTATACTGAATCGAGTTGCGTCTGAATGTATCGACATTTTGTTCTAACCCATTACATAAGCCTGCGTTGTTATATAGAATACGCACGGTGAACATTGGTGAACACATAATAATGGCTCGTTCGCTTTTCAGATAATGACTAAATTTAGTTAGTTATAATGATTGTTATTCTTACAGTTATAACAACAAGATGGCCAACAACATTTATAGCTAGTCTATTGCTTATAGTAATTGATAAACAGACACACAATGTAATTACAAAAAATTACCTTGACCAATGAACCGTCAGAAATTAGATCAATGCCAGAAACCTTCCAGAAAACATGTTGAACACGCAATCATTCATTACACAAAAACAGTTTGTCTATAGTATTTGAGAAACAAACATTACCATTAATATTAACATTGACTAAAGCACAAGCAGTGAGGTTAATGTAAGATAAATAATGATAACAGGCCAGTCAGACATGTACACCTTTTAAATATTCAATACCAGAAACAAAGTTTCCATACTACTTATAGTAACTGGGAAATAAACCAAACATTGTCAAATGAACCATGAATACAAATCAAGGTCATATAAAACTTGTCATATGAACAGTACTCAATGCAAGCATGCCATAAACCAAAATACAGCTGTCCTTTTGATTAGAGTACCTTAAAATAGAAATTTGAAATTGACTAATGAACCATAATCTTTTTTTACAATGATGAAACAGATATTCCATAATGGTCAACCAAATCGTAATGGCATCCGTAAAATTTACGAAGAGATGACTTCAAATTTATCACTTGGAACTCTTTGTTTAATAGCTTCCTTGAAAGCAGTTACCCTCTATCAAGGAAATCATGATAGAAAACACAATCCCTGGAATTTCGTATCGACTGGGAGATATATATTCCGTATATAAGTGATGCTGGAATTTTCACAGAAATCGAGCGATAAAAAAAAGTCATTTCTGTGCATTGAAATCTCCGAACCTTGAAAATGTACTACAAGACATCAGTCAGAATTACAATAAACATAGACCGTTAAATAAATGTTATGTCACTCTCTGTAGTAAAGAATATGATGTAGAATATTAATAATGACAATGGTATTAGACAACAGATAGTTTAAATGTACAAACGTACAAAACACTTACACGACAGTTACAATTGCATCGCACTTAAAACTTGTTTTCCACTTATTCCTATCTAGACACTCATAATCTGAAATGAAAAATTTGAATCAAAGTATTTGAAAAGTACTGTGTTTAATACATAATTGCAAACTACTAAATGAAAGCAGTTTTTGGAATATGCCTTTGACCTTTGTTTGTCTTGTATGTTTATTTATAATTTTAGTTCCTTTTATTTATATGTTTTGCAGTTAAGTGTGACGTCCATTTTCACTGAAATCGTACACATTTTTGTTTAGTTTAGCTTAGCTTTTAGTTTAAATATATTTATTTATAGTGGATTGGGAAACAAATTATTACAACTTAAATTAATCCCTTTCCACTTTGGTGGTGCGAGTGGTGCCTTGTAGCGGCATTAGCCTGCTCTTTTTCGAAATATACAAGGATGTCTTTTATGTGCAGTAGATATTACTCTCTCTTAACACAGGTCAGTCATTTATCGTCCCCTTCCGACGGACTATCATCGTTTCTCAAGACCATATTCGCAAATGATTTCAAGGGAGAGCTAAAAATTCAGTCCCTGAAATTTTCTCCCCGGAACGGGGATCGAACCAGGAACCTTTGTGTTTGTAGTCCGATGCTCTAACCACTACACCACGGCTCTCAAAGCACATTTGCAATACGAAAGACAAGTAATGCCACCATTAATTTTCCCCTATTAGTCTTTGTTAAATTTGCACTTTTCAAAATTTTGTGCAGAATTTAGCTTTGTGTCAAATACAGAAATACTTGACATGAGTAAAGTTTTATCCTGTACAGTGCTATAGAAAAATCTCACAAAACATGTTATTGCATATAAAAAAAAATAACCATCACTGGAAGTTTACCAATCAAATTTTTTTTTCGACACTTTTTCGTATGCAACCGGTTGTGAAGTACTATGATTTGGAAGTATTACACCTATATCAGAAGAATGATTTTGATTTACAATATCTGAAGAATGATAATTAAAAGAAAGAAAACGGTATATTTTTTACCACACAAACCAAATGACCTTTTCGCAGATACTCATTATCATTATAACGGAGAAAAATTGATAAAACACCTTCTATTATCTGAAGTCATAAACTGTTATATACCAATTAATTAACATTCTTCTGATGTTTCTAATAAAGGTAAAATACCTACATTTCGACATTTTCAGACGTGAAAGTGACTTTTCTACGCAAAAGTTACTATATCATATTGGTCTGTTCATTTTCCAATTAAATTAAAAGAATTTGGAAAAGCTTGAATATGTAAAATTGATTTACTATTTTTGCAATTTCAGGGGTGAATTTTTTTAAAGACGAAGAAAAGACAAACATTGTTACGCTTTTCTCATGCTATTTCATTGGGAATTTCTGATTTATCGCAATTAATGTTGATTGAAATAACTCAAAGGAAAAATTAACTAATAAAACATTAAAGTTAGTTACATGGTTGAACTTTATTGTGCATACCTGGTGATAACATTTCATTAGAGGAACATAACTTAAGGTAACAGGAGCAATCTTCCTTTGCTGGTACACAATCACATCGATGTTTGGGCCTTACTATGAAGTCAAAACCTCTTGTGTAATCACAGCGACATACACTATCCGTTTTCACTGTACCATTACTTGAAATTATTTGTCCTTCCTCATTGCAGTAAGATTTTTTATAAACACAGCGACTGTTACCGGAAGACAAAAATTGAAATGGCTGGTAGAAATCATTGTCACAATCCGCTCCTTGCAGCGTCCCTTGAAATGACCCAGCGACTATCAGCTTTTGACCTATACAGCAAGATTAATTAAACAGAGAGAACAAAGTAAGCGTGTTGTGCATGTGTAACTATATGTGTGTAACACGTGGATTAGGGTAAAAAACAAGGAAAATGTCCCACTTGAAGTCTCATTTTTATAAATTCATAATAGTTTCACAAATGCTCGTGGAGTCCAATGCCAAATTTTTGTATGTATTTGACCTGTATTAACTTATACATGTTATAGGGCTTCACTTCGACTCTTAAAGCATAACGTTTGTATTCCGTCACGGCTAAATTATTTATTATCAATTATCATTGTCGACTTTGCCATTTTCGTTTTGCATATAATTTAGACTACACTTAAAGATACAATCGTTATTATTCAAGCAACAAAATAAAAGAAAGGCATATTTTCTACTTTAAAACTAAACTGTATAACATTTGATTGAAAATATAATACTATAGTATCTTCTTCTTCTAATATGAACTTTTTTTTATTTTTCTAAGTATTAAAATGGTATTAGATATGTTAACAGTGACGGAGGGGTAGACCAAAAAGTGGAAAAAATTCTGTAAAGTGACATGCAATAAAAGTCTTAATAGTCTAGATGTAAGTTGGTATAAAACTAAAAAGATGCGGAATGGTTGCCAATGAGAACATGTTGCACCAGAAACTAATGCTGTTGAAGTGTCCTTATTCATTTTCAATTTTTCAATTTATTTAAGTTCCAGCTCCAACACACTTGTTTAAACACTGAGATATTTAAGATGCATATTTGTATTTTTTTTTTTGTCTTATCCAAAGCATGGTGTATAACAATTGATATAAGATATATTACTTATTAGACATTTTCGGAAACTATAGTTCACAATAACTTTTAAGTTGACGATGATAATTACAGGTAAACTTACCTGTGGGTCATCTCAAAATACACTATGTCATGTTTAACAAGCGAATATAATAAGATAAAAGATTTTTATTCCGATTGAAATCAGCTACTTCTTTTCCGTATTTAATGATAGAATAACTAATTGAAGAATTCAAATATAGATATATATTCAACTAGTGAAAAAGCAACTCATAAATTTACGAATGCGCGTGCGTTAATTATCAGTCTTGTTCGGTCACAAGTTGAATATTTTTCGATATTTGAATTCTTTGATTTCTTATTCTTTTTATTGCAATGAAACGTTTTTTTTTTTTAATTCGAATTAAAGTAGAAAGTTTAGGATCAATATCTTTTTCTACGCATTCACAATTTGTTTTGATGCGGCGTCATCATCAACTTATTGCAATACATATTGTTGTATGACGTAAGAGGAGTGAAATAAACAGTATTTTTGGGATTTATTTAACTGGGAAAACACAGAAAATTATTGCACTATAAGTCATAATCTGTTTTAATCGTTTGAATAGCTACTTGTAAGGGGAACGATGTTCTCAAATGTTTTCCCGTCACAGATACATCAACAACATGAGACACAGCCAAAACCTTTTTAGACATATTGAAATAAATTAGAATATAAAGAAAGCTGACTCTTAAGCCTTCAATATTTCAGAAATTTTCTTAGCCATGCATTTCTCATATATCAACAGTTTCCTTTTAACAAGCTGCATCAATGATATGCTTTTTTGGATCAGCTTTTTTGTCGTTTGAGCACTTGGTTCGGGCTGTTGCTCGTTAGATAGTTACCCGCCCTCTTGTTACAATGCAGGACGTCTTTGTTCGTCATATTTTTTTTCTTTCATCTCCGGATAACAGTCCCAACAAGGGATTTTCCACCTGAACCATTACTTGAACTTTAGATATAGAATTGTAGACGATGCTGTAGCTACTTGTGAGGGGAACGATGTTCTCAAATGTTTTCCCGTCACAGATACATCAACAACATGAGACACAGCCAAAACCTTTTTAGACATATTGAAATAAATTAGAAATGATACGTTCATGCGTATCACTGATAGGCAACACACACTTATCCTAGAAATAATGTTGTTCATGCTTTGGCTAAGACCATATCCGTGATTTCATACGATTAACGTATTTTTTACGTAAACGGAATGAAATTAATGAGCGAATATCAGTGTTTCTATCAACATTTTCATAATCTGGTACAGTGACCATCTCTAAATAAATTAAGAGCACAAATGTGAAAAAAACTGCTAATGGCAGTGGATGCTATTGACTAAAATTCATCGGAAGTTTGCAGGTCACTAGTTGGTCCCAAGAAGCTTTAATTGTCAGGACATTGCAATGATATGGTCAACTGGTAGAAATACTGAGCCTGACTCTCTTGAAAGGATAGTTTATGATGAAATATTTCCTAATAAATATTCTTTTGTGGCACCCTATAAACAACAACTAATACTGTGAAAACTGGACAATTTAAAGAGAGGTGTCGACAAATTAATAATTTCTTAAAAAAAAATACAGAGTTACTGTTGAGAAAAAAAAATGAAGAATTATAGAGTTATTGATAGAGTTTGCAAACATTCAACCAGGAAAATCTATCAAATTGAAAATATGTGTGCTGCTTTTGTATGCAGGTGTCGAGACTTTTGTTTTGTTGATATTATTTGAAATAAATCGTATGTATGCGGTATTCACTTTTCAATTCATCAACATTGTTCACTTTGAGATTGCCCCTATATAATAATCTGTAAATGTCATCATCAATGTAAATATAAAAGTTTTAAACAGTTTCCGAAAATGTCTAGTAGTCTATGGTAAAATATCAGTGATGATATTTGTTGAACAATTTCAGATCCTCATACTAGTATCCGGTCTTCCCATAATGTCCTGCATCTACGGTAAATATCATATACTCTACCGGTGAAGTACTGAATTGTTGAAAGCTTCATTTTTGAATTGCTTTTAAGTTTTAATTTTATTTGACACTTGCGTTTGTAAAATTGTATGTACCACTATATATATATAGCCAACGAAAACTCTTACGGGGCGATGGATCATATAATCATGATACAGTACACTACAAAATATAATATATAACAAGTCTAAAAGGGTACAACATCACCAAAAAATAATAATAAAATGAACAAATGTTAAATATTTCAGATAACTAATATCTTTCATCAGTATGATCACGATATACATAGCATGAAAAAAACATAGAATGAGTCACTCATTTTTCTTACCATCACTCATTTTCCTGACATCATTTGTTTCCAGTTACTCCGGCTTCCTTACTTGACCTTTACAGTTTTAAGGATTATTTTTGAATTTTTTGAATTTTACTAGCATGACTAGTTTAAATACCAGGGTTCTTTTCATTTGGTAGGGATGTACAAGTACGCATCCACGTCCATTTTTTTAACCTTATCCCAAATTTACTATTATTTTTTCTTTTCATTATAAAACTGCTATTTATTTGGGATGATAAAAGCCTCTGTTTGACATATTTTACCAGCTTATATCGATCAGTGCTGTTTTTTTTTTTTTTTGGGGAATGTATTTACACGCAGTTGTTGTTACATCTTAACTGACGTCATTTTGGAATTTTAGAGTTGTGCCAGTTCATATCTCTAATTACTATTTTCATTTTAGGCATGTCTTTGAGTCGTTTTTTGGAAATTTTAAAAGTTTATTAGCGTCTCTACATATGATGTTCGGGTGAAACTGTTTCACTTTTTTTATTGTATAGAATTCAAGATTGCTATAGTTTGATAATCAGAATAGATTGATCTGATTCATTTTACATCGTGCTCATACTGATGAAGGATATCTGTTATCCGAAATATTTATAGTTACATTTGTTCGTTTATTGTCATTTTTTGGTGATGTTGTACCCTTTAAGACTGGTTATATATATATATATATATATATATATATATATATATATATGGTTGTGTTTTCACATTTCATTTTAGTTATTAGAAAACCTGAACGAACATGACGATCCTTTAATTGTCTGGATTTATTGAAGGACGGCATTCATATTCTAATGATTACATATTTTGTACACATACATGTATCTCATTGAGGGATTGTGAGCTCTTCCTCGTGGAAAGGATCAGTATAGGCTTAAGTCTCCTCCATACAAGATATTCGAACGTATTTGTAACCAGAAATTTTAATATTTGATCCTTAGTGTGCTTAATATCTAGAATGTTAAATATTGTACAATTATATTAACAAATTAAGCATGTAAAACAGGCATTTACCTGGTGCTTCAATATCAGGATGTTTCTTACAAAATTCGGTATAAGTATGTTCGTTCTGATCATGCAAACAAAAGTAGCTGTCGCCAGAATCACACACTGATTCTTCTCTATGTTTCCAATTTGCCTGAACAGGACATTGAAAGCTAAAATAAGCTGTGGATATCTTGCAAAGTGCCAAAATCTGAAGTGTACAAAAATATATTGTAAATGCTTATAATATATAGATAATGTTGACATATTATGTTAAGTTGTTTACATTGTGTTATTTGTGATATAGGTCAAATGTCATGGCGAGTAACGTTTCACTTGTTCATTGCTCTTATGTGTTAATGTGAGTATGAAACAGGCACGTGACATGTAAAATAGAGTATAAAACAAGTTGGTGACATGATGTTGATAGGACAGATAATTTTCCTTTTGGCTTTACATTTTTTGCTTGATTTATATTTTCGGTATTAGAAGAGATTTTAGTTTCAAATTATCATGATTCCTATACCTGCTACCTGTGCACCTTCACTTGCATATCATGTAACTGTTATAATCTTCTGTCATGGAAAAACTTCAGAGCTGGTTATTAAAGTGGGATAAATAAATTGACATATTTTTTTAACAAAAGTGCAAATTAAGGCAACAGTAGTATACCGCGGTTCAAGAGTCATAAATTGATTGAGAGAGAAAAATCCGGGTCACAATCTAAAACCGAGGGAAATACATCAACTATAAAGGAAAACAACGAAAGAACAGAAACACTGAAGAGCAACAAAAACAAACGCCAACATAAATAGAAACGGACTATTTGATAACAACTGCCATATTCCTGACTTGGAACAGGTTTAAGAAAAAATGCGGGTAGAACCTGGTTTTATGGCTAGCCAAACCTCCTTATATGGCAATGTTAAAAAATATCGCTAAAATGACAACAGTACGTGATAGGAAAACATATATATATATATATATATACAATATGAATCGGATTTAAAAGAACGCAATCTTGCATTAACACACATGTTACATTAATAGAGATTCAAACATGACAGAATTTTAAATATTATACTCTTGACATATTTTACAGTAGTTATCGTTGTTACCAATACAATGTACCTTTAAATAGCATGTTTCGTGATAAAATCAATATTTTTTATCTCAGTACTAAGAACTATTGATGCGTTACACTTACACAAATCTTTAGTTTGCTATATATATATATTTAACTTACGAGACAAACACTGACATATCTAAGCAGGTATTGTGAAAACATTCTGATGGCTGAAAATTAAAGAAATATATTATAAGTTAAGAGAACTGTAAGGGAACAATAATCTATACGAATCCAAAGGTAATACTGAAGACATGTTTATGTGAGGTCATCCGTCATTGTCGCTATTGTTCTTGACGTCAAAATAGGGGACAGCAAGAAAATTTGACGTCATAACTGAATTATGACCAATGAAGAACTAAGATCAAACGAATCACACGTTAATTAAAAAAAAAAAACAGGTCAGGAAAGCGGTAAATTGGCTAAGTATTAGAGAATTTTTTTTTATCTGATTTATCATGATTTTAATTATTGAATAAATTTTGTTGAAACCAAGATAACAATGAAAGCTTTGAAAAATGTGTACATTTAACAGTTATAAACGAGGATTATTTCGTCTTAACCAACCTCAGCTTTGTGCTTAAAGTTTCGTCTTGTTCTAAAAAAGATGTATTTTACTTTTTATGCACTTGTTAATATTGATGTATTTCATTGTCTCAATGTATAGTATTTTAAAGTTTTCTATGTACCATTGTTACAACAAAGGTTTTTGTAGTATAAATCATATACAAATGTACATACTTTGGCTTAAAACACGTTTTTTTTTTTACTCTCTTTGTGAATCGTACCACTTTTCCTCATTGTGAACAAATCATTGTACCATTGTAATAAATGATGAAGTAGTTTGTGGTAACGAAATCTTACATACCGACCAGCTATACATATATTATGTTCATTGATTAGTCGATAACACTTTCAGACTCTGAGACGAACTAAATATATATAATTATATGACAGTTTTCTTCTGTAGTTTAGGAGCGGTTTGTAGTTTTGAGCGTCCGATTTGCACAAAATACGATATCAAACACGTGTAGAGAGGTATTATTTGAATTAAGGCTTGAGATTGTGTGTATACAGAATGCAGTTTTTTTTATTAATGTATTAAGAGACCCTAACCTAAAAATATCAACCAATGAAATCTTTTGCTTGTACGTCAAGGCATTGTGCGTCACTTTTTGGACATAAAATTGTTTAAAAATTCGTTTGAAGTCCTTATTAGATGTAAAATAACCATAATGAAACTATCATTGTCTCGGCAAATGGTCATCTAGTAAAACGAAGTTTGTATCTCTTTCAACATTAGTTTCTGAATTTACTCACTATTTATAGTAAATTATAATGCGCATGAACAAGTATGGGAATAGTTTAATTTCCAACTACTTTCTTTTTTTATTTATGAAAATTTCTTCTTTCTAGCTTCATTCTCTGTAATTAGAAAAGTTTTAGTGTACACAAATACTCTATGTTTCAATTACATAGTTGTTTATTATAAATGGTCTCGTTGACAGCCGTCCAGACGTTTCTCCTAGGCCTACATCTACGTATGATACACAAACAACTTATTATAATTAATGTATTCCCTTACGTTCACATTGCGAAATAATAATGGAATTTGATAGCCTTTAAATATAAATATGATATACCAAAACGAAAACAAAAACAAAAAGCACAAAACAAAACTTACCGACGCAATACGAAAGCAGCTTTTGTTAACTTTTTAGGCGTATTTACCTGTATCGACTATTGTTCATTCACATTTGTACTTTTTTCTGCATTGATGATTAAGTTCATAAATTAAAGCACACGATAGATATGTTTACTTAGGTTTACTACCTTTCCATTGATAAAAATCAATGTGTATATGTATTTCAAATCAGGATTTGATAACATGCAGTCGATAGTCAATGTACACTTTGCGTCATATCATATAAATTTTATTATGCATAATCAAAGAAGAAAAATCCATTAATTGAATAAACCAATGTCATAATATTGTGAGTCAAGTTAGATACACCAATTTATTTGTTCAAAACTCAAAATATTGCTGAGTTATTAAAACAACCCACTTGTAAATAGCCTCACAAGCCCCGTTTTCAAATCAAAGCGAAAATGTCCACCTAAATTGCGTTGACTTGCCCACATATGTGTTGGAAAAAAACAATATGGGAAGACAAACAATTATTGTTGTTTTTGACGTAAATAAAAATTTCAATGAACTAAATCTATGTAACTGGTGAATATTTAAAGTCATATGAAACGAGTGTCTGGTTATCCATAATGTCAAAAAAATCATTGAGCTGATGCATGCATATATAGTAGTAAAGTAAGTCCTATATTCACAATTGTGTTACATTTATTACGAATCCATGACGTATAATCGACAAAAAATGTTCGTTCTGCGGTTGTTGGTCGAATATTTTCTCTGCTATAATAATATTTAGTTTGATTTTAATTTACTGATAACAAAATCAATATTAATACAAATAAAAACAATATCCAAAGACCTAAATATAGTGTTGAATTGGTAACCTTTTAGAATAAATTTATTTAAAGGATCAATAAGAAGGCTTTAAATGAGTTGCAGCAAACATATTTGCATTCAGATTTACCAAACGACCATTTAATTAAATAGGAAAACTTTTGTTTGGTAAGATTGTGTGGAAGTGTAGTGTAAAGAGTTGAAAAGTCAAAACTGTCAACAGAATCAAAAGGACCATCGAAAGCACGTAATTTATCTACAACATTCAAATAAAATTGAGAATGGAAATGGGGAATGTGTCAAAGAGACAACAACCCGACCATAGAACAGACAACAGCAGAAGGTCACCCGGAGGCGTCCTTCAGCTGGCCCCTAAACAAATATATATACTAGTTCAGTGATAATGAACGCCATACTAAACTCCAAATTGTACACAAGAAACTAAAATTAAAAATAATACAAGACTAACAAAGGCTAGAGGCTCCTGACTTGGGACAGGCGCAAAAATGCGGCGGGGTTAAACATGTTTATGAGAATTTTTTACACTCATGACACTCCAAAAATAGTTAATTCCACTATTTTATATGTTTTATTACAAAAGTTAATGATAAGTACTTTGATAGTAGTTAAGGAACCAGTTAAAAGCACTGAAAGATTAGTTTGTAGAACACTTACTAGAGGCCGATATGAAACAATATTTTATTGTTTTTTTTTGTGTGTAGTTTAAGTAACCAATACATAGTAGGGACCTTCAAATGTTCAGAAGAGGCCTTACGCTGTGATGTGGTTATGATATGATTGTTTACTATATGACTCTATGTGGAGCGCACGGACTTGAATGTAGAAGAATCAAAATTTCATGTTTTAGAACGTTTGTGCAGTATTTACGGTATACCACCACCACAGTGTTGACTGCTTTGTCGGCCGGTACAAACACAAACCGTTTTGCGAGTACTTGAGGTTTGTTTCTTATTCTAGAATTTAACGTGTTACATGTAATTAAAACTTGAGTGTTTTGTGCCGATGTTTACGGATCGTTACCTATTGATAAAAAAAAAAGAAGCATATATCATGTATAGCATGGAGAGCGTGAAAAATAAGTGAGATGATAAAGCAATGTATATTTGTCTTTATTTATACTTGTTATATGTTCCAATATTTTCTTTAAATTTTATCATAACAGTTGTTAAATGGTCTGCTGTATTAATTGTTACATGTAAGAATCGATTAATTATACATTATCTGATTTCAACCTTTCTTTCGTCATATTCCCTCACGCCTGTGCTGTGCTGTGGCCAAAATGCCTTGTTAAGTAAGGGACATGCATTAGAAAAGATGTCGATGAGTTGGAGTATTGGAAGACAATATCTCAATTTAGGAAATACCTGAAAAATTGGATAAAAAGTATGAATTTCTTTTTAAAGAAAGTATATGTACACGTGTTTTAAAGAGAGCTTTAGCCATTGAAGTTTTGAAAATAATTAATATGTTTGTGACATTTAAAGTATCATTTAATTTAATGTTTCATTTTTGTCATGTCGGATCCTTTAATAGCAGATTGTATACGATATGGATTTTGCTCATTGTTGAAGGCCGTACGTCGACACATAAATGCTTACAAAGACGTCATTTTGGGCTATGTTGGATAGTTGTCTCATTAACAATGAAACTCCTTCTCCTTGTTTTATATATATCGTGTACGAAATTTTTGTGTTAGCTATCCTAATCTTTTAAATCAAACCTGTCATGAATAAATCATGATATGTTGGAATGAATTGTGCCATATTATCTTTATTGTTTTCATATAAAAAATGTCGCATATTTATGAGAAAAATATAGCATAAGTAAATTTTTCATAATAGAAAATGATGTTCTATTACAAAAATATTGCACTCATACTGAAAAAAAGCAATATCAATCTATTACACGTGATTATGGCTAATTAAAAAATGGTGCAAAAAGGTTCCATTAAGTCCATATACCTATTTACTCGTATATAGAAAACATACTTGGAATTAGATTTCTCAAATTCTTACCCAATTTACCCCTTTCCTGACGCGTTGATTGTTTCTATTCAATGAACGTGTGGTTCGTTTGATCTCTGTTCCTCATTGGTCAAAATGCGATTGTGATGTCAAATATTTTTCCTATTGTGACTTGATATAAAAAGGTGACCTTGACTGAAGACGTCACATAGATAGGACACATATTTTTGCAGATTGTTTGAAAATAAAGGATAAGTGTGTCTGCATATCGTTTAAAAATCATTAGAGAAACAGATTTTACCATCAAATCTCGGGGTAATACGATATTTCCCCGATATGGACTGTTAACTGTTAAAATCTAAAACGATCGGAGAGCCACACGTTTTAATCTCAAAATTTAACTGTCTTGAGTGGATACTTATCGTATCACACTCGATGCAGTGGTAGAAACTTATATAATATGTGCGAAACGCATAGAAAGCTATACAGACGTTTGTCCTGTTAAACACACTTTTCTTTCAAAGTTGTTGTGAAGTCAGCTCATTAGACATACAATATAGCGCACTGCTCAATTGTAACGTCACTATCTTTGACGTACTTCCTTTGGCTCAATACATTTAGCAAACTAACAAGACTTTTTTAAAGTTCATGTCATTATCATATACGATATCGAAGCCATTATAAAACACATTTATACCATGACAAGATGAAATAATTGGAACGAAGCTACAAGCCGTACGAGCGAGAGACAGAGGTGCAGTTGCGAAACTTCTGGGGATATTTGAGGAGATTCAGCAAATTCTGATGTAGATTATGAGGACATTTTAACTTTGCAGAAAGCTGAAACACAGATGAAAAAAACATTAGAAAACGCCAACGAAAATATATAAGAGCGAACTTTGGCCGACCAGATGAAATACAGCACTCAGATGAGTACAAGTTCAATTTAGAATATATATTTCGACAAATTACAAAATTAACAAAGCCATTTCAAAATCAAAATCAAGCAGTTGTATTACAGGTAAGGTGGTCTAGTATTTGGAGCCACTTACTCGCCCTTTATATTGAATGTTGTTTTAGCAAAACACAACAGCAATCACGAGGCCACATTTACTGACAGTTAAATGAAATTTGTACAAAGACAGTTATTTTGTTTTCATTTTCAATTCCGGAGATAAGTTGCCATCAAATTCGTAAATAATTTCCAGATGGATTCAATTAACACTCCTGGGCATCAAATAATAAGTTATTGCAAGAACTTGCAGAATCCAAATAAGTTAAAGAGACAGCGCAGGAAGTTAAAATAGTAGGCTTCGTTTTAATACAGATTATGATAATCTGATTTATATACTAGACACAGAAAAAAATAAAATAACAAAAAATACCAAATTCCAAGGGAAATTCAAAATGGTAAGTCGTTTCTAAAATGGCAAAATCATAAGCTAAAACACATCAAACGAATGAAAGACACTGTCATATTACTAAAATATATATATATATATAGTACCCCATCACAAATCTCGAAGTACTAAAAAAATCGTTAAAGATTTATCGCAGCGATGTTAAGGCAATTTCGATAAGATTTTGTCAGGGGCAGATAACCCCGTATGGACCTCATTATGTATTCATATATTCATTAAAGGAGACGTGACACAATTTTTTTTTTTTTTTTTTTTTAAATTAATTAATTTATATTGGTCAAAAAACAAATTTTAATAAATTTTTCTTGTCAAAACCTCATTAAACGGCCTTTTTATGGTCAAATAATCCAGCACTTGTCGTAATCTTTGATTTTTAATTAGATATCGGTCACGTGATCGTGATGACGTCAGTGGATCCAAGCTGAGAAAATGTCTCAATATGGACGAAATCGATCACATTTCTGCATAATTAAACAATGGACGGTGTTGACAGCAGTTTTCAAGACAACTCTCAAACTTTAGATATTCGACCGTATCAGTTTGAGCCGTTACTTTTTGAAAATAATCAAGTAGAAGACATAAATTCGTCATCCGAAGAGTCCGACATTGACGATCTTTCAAGCAATGCCGATCGCCTTGTAAACACAAATTGGTTCGTATGATAAATATATTTGAAACCAAACACTTTCAGTGTTTTATTAATGACAGATGCATTTATAACAATTAAGAAAATATAAATTTCTGATTTTTTACGATTTAATATATCCATCGAAAATAGTTTGTTTCACTCTGCCCACAGGGGTATCCCTGTGCTCTGCCCTGGAACAACGCACAGGCACTATATATACATCGACCTTTTTCTTCTTCTGAAATACAGTTACAGCTTCACTTATATACGACATTACGAACTGTCAAAAATAATAAATGGGCAGTGGGAAGAAAATGTTATATTGTATAAACAAAACACCTGAAGAGGTTTTGGGGTAAACCAGTCACTAGACGTTCTGTCAATAGTAATAAAATTTTGGCAATGGGAAGAAAATAGTGTCCATATATACTCTTTTATATATATAAACAAGTCTAAATTGAAAACAACGTTCAAACCTATGATTGCGTTGGATAAAAACCGCAATTTTTATACGTGTGCATGCAAAACAAATTTCTTGTTAAAGGGGTCTAAATACAGCACAAACAACATTTTCCAAAAGACCAAAAAAGTGAAAAAGTATATTTTAACAAAACGCATTTGACTAACAGGTCGAACAGCAAATGTTCTTAAATCCTGCTGACTGCCATTGGCGATTGCCAAATAAACGGATCACAAGGTGTAATAAATGGATCTTAACTTTAAATTTAATACCAAACAGAAAACAATAAACATGCGGCGAAGATGGTATACCGCAAACAAAGGTGCAAAGATTGTTTGTACACCATATCCGAATTTCGACAATTAATGTCTCTTCAGTGATGTTAGGAATCGAAACGGTTATTGGAAGGCCACATAATTTACCTCAATTTGGGATAGACTCTTGAATTTTGAGGAGTCAAAATAGGATGAACGGATCATATAAACCCGAAGGCAAATATAATACAAGCCCAAACGAAAAAATATAAACAAGTCTAAATTGAAAACAACGTTCAAACCTATGATTGATACTTTTTCACTTTTTTGGTCTTTTGGAAAATGTTGTTTGTGCTGTATTTAGACCCCTATATATATATATATATATATATATATATATATATATATATATTATTAGATTTGATGAGCATAAAATACCAATGTATATATGCATTAGACATTACCACATTTATATGATATATTGTTTTTTCTTATAGAGTTTAATTCAAGATATATATTCCTCCACAATCAATTCATTTGAATGGGGACACATAGTTGATGACTTAAACTGCATCACAGAGCATGAGATCTTTATTGCAAACTGCTTAAACCGTCATGTGTTGCAAGTCAGCATGTATGCATACATGGAGCATGTTGGTCCCTTTGACGACAATGAACCCATCAATGAGTAAGTTTTGAATTAAGTCATGCTAGTAGTAGGCTAGGTTCTTGTTCATGAGGTACCAATTTCAAATCAGTTATTGTTTTATTGATCCATGTTCATGATGATCATTCACTGTTTTCAAGACAATACTAGTGACTTCAACATTTTTAATTGTACATAGAGTAAGTACAATCATTGACCATTTAATAAAGAAAATAACATGAATTAAATAATAATTTAATATCACAGATAAATTCATAATTCAAATATCACAGATACAATTTGTTTATACATAATATATTTCAAAGCATACTGAACATGTAGACAGGCCCAAGTTATTTCGTGTCATTATAATAATATACATAGGTAGAAAATATATACATGGCAGTACACCTTAGGTAATATTTATCAATCCTAAATATTTCTTTTTAACCTTAATACAGTACAAAATGACAGGTACAACGGAATTGAAATGTTTCAGTCTTTCGAAAATGAAAAAAAAAAAATGTTAATAAGAAATTTTTCTTTCTAACTTACATTGTATGCTTGATGAAAATATTAACATATCAGTTTAGAGTAAGGTACTGAAAGGTGTATATGAATATAATTGATGTTTTGTTTTGTAGGAAATATAGGTTTATGGCATATAGAAGATTTGTGCAGTGGATATGGCATCGCCTTGGACGTCACAACAGAAAGATCTTGCCTGCATGTGTTGTGAAAAAAATTAGGGACAGTTTCCCATCTGAAGAATACTGTGGCTTCAAATATGCAGTTGTATAAATTAAGTTTGGACTAATTACTTTTTGTAACTATTTATTCTGAATGAAACACTTGTATTAATAAAAACATTGACTTTTTGTTTTTGCACAGTAGATCCTGTTTTAAAGAATAAATAAAATAATAAAGGTGTACCTTATAACAAGTTTTTTGTTGTTCAATGCTAAACAAAAAATCAAGGTTGACATTCCTTCACAATAATCAACATGAAAAAAGCCTGCAAAACTCCTCAATATAATTCACATGTAAAAGTTTACAGTGAACATCCACTGCATATCATACAAAATCATTACACTTGTTCTGACATTCTTCCTGTAGAACAATCTAACTGCTGGTCAAATGGATTTTTTTTTGATTTATCATAAGACTAGGAAGACAAATTGATGTTAACACCCCCCCCCCCCCCCCCCAACGCCCCCCCCCCCCCCCCCCACCAGCCACCCCAACCCAACCCAACCAAACCAGAAGATTATAGATTTCCTTAATAATTTCCAATGTGCATACAACATTTAACTGTTCTCAATAATTTTCTTCTATCGCTGATATCTGGACCTGTGTCTCTCAATGAGGTCTGCCTTTTGGAATGGCTCGAATGTCTGCGTTAAACTGACTGGAAAGTGGTTTTGAAGAATCTGTACATCCCCTGCAGCATTTGAATATGAAAAGCAGTCATGTTCACTTATGGAAACAACATCTTGCTTGATCAGAAAACCTAATCTGGTCCGGGTACACAGTTATCGTCCTTTGATTTTCGTTGTCCACGAAAATAGTCCCTAGTGTGGACAGTGTGTTACTTGTCGATTTTTTTTATACCCCTTCCGAATTTATTTCTCCATGTTTTATGACTCAAATAGTAAGTAGGGGGGTGAAATGACACTGTAAAAAAATTTGGGTCATGAATTTTAAAGTAAAGTAGTGATTTGGTCCAGCTGAAAAATGTTAAAAATTAGCACTTCCGAAGCTGTCAAAAGATTTGAAGACCCCCTTAGCATGAAATTGTCCATATTTTGAGTTAGAGCCGATGAAGTTTTCTATAATTTTGATATAATTTGTCCCAAAAGTAGTACAACACACTGTAAAAATAATATTGAGAAAGCGCGAGGTGGATTTTTTTAATTTTCATTTATTGTCTAAAAGAAATGCACTACGAAATAACTGTGTACTCGGACCTAAGAGGTGAAATCAGGAAATATAGAATCTGTACTCAAGCAACTTCCCTGAATGATTTGACGGTGTCAATTTATCAAATAGCATAAAACTAAAGGATTTAAACTTTTATTTGATAGAATTTCTGCAAAAATGACCAATTTTGGCATTTTATGGTCAAAATAAGCATTTCATAGCTTTTTCAATTTTGATGCATAAGTGGCATTCTGACTTTCTATCTGACAGGTTTTTATGTGTCAATATTTGTGTTTCTATGCTTCAATCCAGTTGTATTACTCATTTGTGAACTCTGAATCTACAGAAAAGAAGATTATCTTAGACAATATGTGCAAAATGTGTTGTATATATGATCCTCGTCTAACGCTCTGTTTGGATCAAGTTAAATGTGAGGAGCTTGGAACAAAAAGTTGAAGTCCATTATAAAGACCTCACTAAATTTGAATAAAAAGCACTTAACAATGTCTTTTGTACCTGTTTTATGTCACATAATATCTTTCTTTTCTTCTGTAGGATAGCAAGTGGTTCAAATATAAGCCTGTTGAGACTAAAATTGCATGCATGTTTTTCACTAAAAAGTGAAAAATCTTTGTATCAGACCATACTGTCTGCAAAAAAAGTTGAATGCAAGAGTCTTTTTGTGCTCAGATTTATTGTATCATGTCACCTGAGTATAGAAATGATAGAAAAGACACAAAATTTTATTTCATATAGCTTCAATATGCATTTTAAAATGTAAATATGTGATACGGCCTAAATTGACCCTAAATTATTTTCAGTCTTACTTGGCCTAGGACCCTTTTAAACTAATGTGATATGTTATTTGTAAGTTTTCTTTCCATTTAAAGTACATTAAATACATATGTAAGGATTATTTATAACCAAAAAGCTTTACAAATTTAAAATTGCCGGAAAATATTACATCTTTATGTAAGGCCCCCCTTCATTGGAAAACCTCCATTTTTAGCCACAGGCTCATATAAATTTGACTTTTTAATAATCATGATAAGTCTGATAAATCAAATGAGTACTCTATTGCTTTTAATACATAATATATTATATATTAAGGCATTTCAAAAGTATTTTTTTGCAATATTTTAATTTTTTAAGCCCCAAATGTTGATAGTTGAAAATTTTCAATTTTAACGCCTAAATTTAACACTCAAAGTTGAATATAGAATTAGTCATATTGTCTATAATATATATCCTATTGCCATGAAACTTTGTAAGCAGTCTTATAATTGAATAAGCTTTGGTCATACCAAGTTTCATTAAGATTGGTCAACTTTTTCTACCCTATTAGGTCCGGGTACACGAATATAGTCCCTAGTGTGGACAGTGTGTTACTTGTCGGTTTTTTTTATACCCCTTCCAAATTTATTTCTCCATGTTTTATGACTCAAATAGTAAGTAGGGGGGTGAAATGACACTGTAAAAAAATTTGGGTCATGAATTTTAAAGTAAAGTAGTGATTTGGTCCAGCTGAAAAATGTTAAAAATTAGCACTTCCGAAGCTGTCAAAAGATTTGAAGACCCCCTTAGCATGTGGGATTTTTTTAATTTTCATTTATTGTCTAAAAGAAATGCACTACGAAATAACTGTGTACTCGGACCATCTACAAAAAAATAGTCAATATTATTTTCAAATTTTGTGCACTGCAAGTATTACATTGTTATTCTTAATTTTTACTCAATAAAAATGAATTGATGCATTGAGTGTTTTACTGACATCCTTTAGCAAAGCCTGTACAAGCTGTGATCACTTGGTTAAAAAATATGTTAGCTCTTTGTTGCATACCATACAATATGTCTGTTAAATTGTTTTATGTGAATGATGTTGTTTAAAATTAGGCCAATAGTTTCTCAATTTAATTGATTCATATTTTTGATGTCAGGGCCTTTTTAAGCTGATCATACAGTATTGTTTCCTCATTGTTGAAGGCTGTAAGGTTGTCTGTAGTGCTTACATACCAGTGGCGGATCCAGAAATTTTCATAAGTGGGGGCGCACTGACTTATTTTTTAAAAACATGTGTTAGTTTTCTCGTTTGAATTGTTTTACAATGTCATTTCTGGGCCTTTTATAGCCGACTGTGCGGTAGAGGCTTTGCTCATTGTTGGAGGCCGTATGGTGACCTATAGTTGTTAATTTCGGTGTCATTTTGGTCTTTTGTGGGGAGTTGTTTCATTGGCAATCATACCACATCTTCTTTTTTATATGTACATATTTATTTAAGTATATAAATTTTCAAAAAAAAAGAACGGAATTGACGAATGTTTCAAAGAGACTGGAAGCGGCTTAGAGAGCCTGTTTTTTAAACAGGTTGATCAATTGATATATATGCTATTTCAAAAAAATAATTATACATAGTACTACATACCTCTGGTCATCATCTGAGGGTTGGTACTCCTCATCACTATCTGCATGGCTGGAAACCTCATCGTCGTCAGAGTTTTGGGCTGAATTGATGTTAGTTGTTGTAGTTACAATACTGGCACATGTACATTTTGTAATGTCATCATCAGTCTGAGTAGCAATTGTACTGTATGTTGCTGAAGGTTGTGTAATTTTAAGATCTGTTTGATGTTTCCTGGTACGTTGTTGTGGACGGAGCTAGGATTGGCTTTTCTTGTGTTTTACTGCTTTTGGAGATGGTGGTGGAGTTGTCTGTGTAACCATGGTAACTTTGGATGTATTCTTCTCTGTAACATTGGAGGTTGGCAGTTCTGGTTCTGGTTCTGTGGTACTGTCTGGTACTTGTAGTTGTACACATTCCGTGTCTCGTTCATAGTTGTCATATGCAAGCTGTAGGATCTGCAAAGAATAAATGTTTGTTGTTAGTTTAGTCTTACAGAACTTTTTTTACTGTGATAATTAAGACATATAAATACAAGTGAACGTCTTGGGTCACACAATGGTCAATTGCATTTCTGAATAATTATGTGGTCTTAAATTACAATTATAATGAAATCAAAAACATAGAGAAATATACCTAACTTCTTAACTCCATTTTATTTGAGCTTTCATGGATAGTTGTCTGAATAGAAATCAAATTTACCACTAATAAATTGGTTCTTAGGTATTAATTTAATAATTTAAATTAGTTAGTTTGCTAAATGTAGCGTTCAAGTTCAAAAGTTTATTATAGTTTATTATAGTCGCACCACATACATACATGTATAAACACAATATGAAATATAATGCACATTTTAAAATTTAGAATGCATATATAGAAATCTGTGTAGAAATATATCAGTACTTTATCAATTATTTCACCATAAATCAAGATATATTTCTTAAAAATGTTTGAGTTTAACAGGTAATTGAATTACATTAAATAAGACAAAAAGAGAGGTAATAAATTACCTATCACCTAACCAAGTATGTTGGGTGTGAAATTTGAATTACTGAAGCAGCCCCCAATACATGTGTAATAAGTATGACATAACAGGGGAAGTATTAAAAGTAATATTTAAAGAAGTTTTGAAACAGTAAAATATATTCATGTATTTGTCTCCTCCATAATCATCCCATTGAAAATGTTCTAGGAGTACTGATTTTTTGTTGTTGTGATATTTGTTATAATATTATTTTATTTATATTTTATTTATATTTCCTATCCCCCCCCCCCCCCCTTTTTAAGCTGCACTGTCAGTCCTTTTTTCTCTATTCTGTAAAACCCCATAACCGACAGTCGGGTATTGTTTATTCCAACAGGTAAAACAGATATGCATTACGTAACTTATGTCTGTAACATTTGCTCTAGTCTATTTTCCAACCTCACCTGTGCACCCAGCAGGTGATCATGGATGTACACAGATTCGACGCATATTACGCAATATTGCGTATTACCTATGTCTTATCTTTCATCACCTGGGGGCATGACACCTGTAGCTTTCAACTTTAAAAGGTAACCCAGCATTGCGGATAAAGTGTGCCGCATACCTGTAACTTCTGATCGATGTTTATGGATGTATGTCCAATTTCAGTGTACACACTTGCACACGTGAACAGGTAGTGAGGTACTCTAAGGAGGTACACGATACTAAATTTTAAACACTGAGATATATTGGGCTATACACAAATATGACGAAACTATAAAAAATAATATTATTAAAAAAGGGACGCAAAAAAATATTTGCGAAGATAAAAAAAAAATATTTACCTCAGCCTTTCTCCGCTTCTCATAAGCTCCCCGCTTAGGTATAGGTGGCCTTGGCTCAGCTGTTGTTGGTTGTGTCAATGGAATGTCAGGTACCGCATTTGGACGGAGTTTTGTGGTAGGACAGCCCTCGAGATTCTTCATAACTTCTGGGTCACGATCGTAACATGCATGTGTAAAGTGGGCGGAACAAAGTCTATGACCAGTGCTTGGTAGGAAGTCCCATCTCTTACAATAGTGTGTCCACGCCTTCCTGGTTTGCGGGTTACTCGGAAAACGGAAAAAACTAATTAAACTGTCCTTCTTATGCCTTTTGTTGCATCCACTGGCAGCACACTGAACCATTTTTAATCACTGTCATGGGTTTTGTTGGAAGATATTCGAAAATGAAATTGCGCTAATTATGCCTATACACCCGTCAGTCAAATATGATTGATGAAACCACTGACGTCACAGCCTCGTTCTGAGTGACTTCCAGGATTGAAATATGCATAATTAGTATGTCGACAGATCGATACATTTAAATTCATATTTTATCCATTTAAACGATAATTATATGCTTTCGATGTTTTTTGGGGGGTAATTATGTATAAATAAATATTTATTTCCAAAAAAAAAAAAAAAAAAAAAAAATCATGTCACATCTCCTTTAATGGTGGTCGGTAAAAGTGGTAACCCGAACCCGAACCCGAACCGGAATTTGCCGGAAATTTGCCGAACCGGAAATCTTTAAATATGATTTGTTATCATTCTTTAGAGATTTTTGTTACAAAAATTAATGGATATGGTGTAAAATATAAAGTTTTATGTTATGTATGAGTACGCTTTTGTTCTTAACTGGCAGAAGACTGAAAAAAAAGTTTTCTATGTTTCCGCCTTGGTAAAAGTGGTAACCCAAACTCGGGAACCTATTTTTCTTTATTTCTCTGTATTATCTGATTTCTTGAATGAACACTCTGACTTCGTGTGATGAATATCATCTTTCATTTCATAAACACAAAGATTTTTTTCAAACTGTATAAAACACAACCAGAGACATATAATACAAGAGATTCGCAACTCGGCGAAATCCCGTAATAACACGCGGCCACTAGTTAAACCTCGCGAGATCTCCTTAGGTAATAAAGTCATTAATAAAAGTATTAAAAGTACTCGAAGTAAGGACGAATGTTTAAGCATAACATAAACTGTTTCAGTGTTAAATTTATCATAATTAATTAAATATAATTTGAGTACATATATAATTATTTATTTTAATGTAATTTTGATTTTAGATTTGTATTATTGAAAAAGAGACATAATTTGATATTGTATAAAAAAAAACTGATATTAAATAATTAACACTTGATAAATTGTGTCAGAGTTCATTTTATTTGATAGTTACATAATGGGTTTCTATTGAATATACACCTGTCTCGGAGACATAATTTCACAGTGTGACATGTATATTAGGTTTGAATTATTCGATGACCAGGTAAATCACGAACATGTTATAAATAATGAGTTTTAATTGACACCTTGTAAACAAGAAGTTGTCACACCACAGGTGTCCACACTCTTTCCAAAAATACAATTCACAAAATGTATAATTAATTAATATGGAAAAAAACTTAATTTATTTGTTAATTAATTGTTAATCATGATAGGCTTTTATTCTTGATATTTATAAATTATTAAAATTTTATTTATTTTTATATTCCTCATTTATTGGGCTTTCATTGAGTTTTTTTTCTGTAGGATTGTCGGTAAATGTTTGATTTCTAAGTGTTGTTTGACAGTTTTATCATATAGGCTTGCATTGAGTTGTTTTTTTAAATGATTGTCGGTAAATTTATGGTTTCTTCATGTTCGAAGTGTGTATTGAGAATTAATATTTAAGAAAATTACAATTAATTTCTCATTTGAATAAAGCTTCATTCATGTGCACGCAATATGGAAAATTCCGATTTTATTTCGTGGGATGACAATCTTAATTTCGTGGGATGACAATCTTAATAGTTACGACTTAGATATACTCCTAAATAAACTGATAACGAACTCTTTGTTGATAGTGAAAAGGACGAAAACATAAGCGAGAGACCCACCAACAAAAACAATTGACAATACTGCATACATAGATGGATATGTGTGTCCTCGAAGCAACAAAAAATCTATAAAAAAACACAGGTCATACATCAAAGCAACACGGAAGACACTATTTAAAAAGTATTTTATAACCTTGTTTCCACGAGACAATCATTTGTAGTGGTTTTTGTCTTTTTTTATACGTGTGCATGTAAAACAAATTTCTTGGTAGAGGGGTCTAAATACAGCACAAACAACAATTTCCAAAAGACAAAAAAAAGTGAAAAAGTCTATTTTAACAAAACGCATTTGACTAACAGGTCGAACAACTGATGTTCTTAAACCCTGCTGACTGCCATTGGCGATTGCCAAATAAATTGATCACCAGATCTAACAAAATGGATCTTAATATTAATTAAATACCAAACAGAAAACAATAAACTTGTGGAAAAGATGATATACCACAAACATATATATATATATCTTTTGCAGTCACCATTGAAATGTCCTCAATACGATTTTAATTTAAAAATGAATTAGGTTCATGTTTTGAACGAGAAGCGTAGTCTGAAACGACAACAGATGCATATGAAGCTCATTCATAATATTACGACCAGCAGAAGGTTTCCTTTACTAGGAAAATTTTACTCCTTTTGTAAATTTACTGCATTCGTTCATCTTTGGCACCCTAAAAAGAAGAAAAAAACAATGACTTCAGAATAGGAGAAAATAAACAACTTTGCTATAAACAGAATGAAAAATGAATAAAACATCTAACAAAATGCAGGCTATAAATTTCATAGTGCACAAAAAAGAAGGACTGATTTAAGGAAATTTGACCATGAACAATTTCAATATTTAGCCAGTTTAATAAAAAATTTCGGGTATCAATCAGAAAAAATCGCCACATTGTTGGTTCAAATTTTACGAAAATAGTCTTATTTTCAGTCACGAAACAACATTTGGGAGTACTATTGGCCCATAAAATTATATATTTATTAGCATATTTTTCAAGTTTTAAGAAAAAAATTGGGAGATCAAATGGTTTCTACGGCAATAGGTGAAGTAAAATGGGCCGAGTTTTAACTTTGTTTGAATTTGATTAATCTCATCATTAGAACACATTTTATCAATAACAAATTATTAGAATTAGTTTTTTGTAACTTTTAAATATACTTGCATGCTTTAGCTGTGAAAGGTATCGGCATTATCCATTAGAAAAATCGTGAGGCGTAGAACCTTTTACACAACAATACGGGTTATTACCCATAAATCCATCGGATTAATCGGCTTTCCGGTGGCCACGTCATTTCATTGGCTGTTATATAGACTCTACTAGAGTTGCGAATCTCTTGTATTATATGTCTCTGACACAACCATTTATTTCATTTCTAAGTGAATAAGTAGGAAACCGAACCCGAAAGGGAGACAACTCGTTTTGAAATAGTTACACAGGTAAATGAACGCAATAAAACCTTACCGGATTCCGAATGGACTTTGGTATGAACCCGGGCTCTGGAAAGATTTTAACCACGTCAATGCTTTTAAGATTATTGTCAGGAAAAAACAGTAAAAATAACAAGAGGACAAATAAATAAAAAAAATAATAATAAATAAATAAATAAATAAATAAATAAATTGATTAATAAATGGAATTACTGGAAATAACAATATAATAAAAAAAATTTTTAAAGAATTTCATAGAAAGCCAACATAGTTCCATAACACATCACCGTATTGTTTTTTTTTTCTCTATTTACAGTCCAATCATTACTGGTAAGTTATTGTGGAACGGAAAATAAAAGTAAATTGTCGTCGTGCAATTGATTCTTTATGATAAATGTCAAATATAATGAAGATGGCATATTGCGGAATATAAATGAACATAACTTATGACATTTTATCAACATAATATCGAAACTGTCCTTAGATAGGTCCTAAGGATTTCTTAGGACAGAGATTTGGATAAAGTTAGGACTGACTGACAGAAAGGGTTAGCATGCACATCGAAGCTATCTTATGATTATATAAGCTGGGATGTCCTAACCGCTGTATTAAGTATTGGCGTATAATGAATGGCCTTATAGTAAATGGTTAATTTAAATGAACGAAAATGAAAATATTGTATCAAACCAAGCCATACATTTGTAATTCTAAATAAGAAAAAACTATTAGTTTTAAATTAAAGGTAATAAATAATTGGTATATAATAATTGTACATTATAAATGTATGAAACAAAAAATAATACAAAAATTATAACTTCGTTTTATATAAGCTTATCGAAAATAGTTATAGCTAAATGTGTAATCATTAAAAACAAGTGAGGTTGAATTCGAAGTGTCACGGTTTCATACTTCAAAGTTAAATTAAAGACAAATTTCGTGCATATTTCATAGAAATACGGAGTACTTCAACTATTGTGCGTTTGTTGATTTTGAAATAAAGCTGTTGACTTTGTACTTAGAAACTCTTTATATTTCAAACTTCTACAAAACCCATGAACCGGATTTTTTTTTTTTTAGAGTTGTAAAGATATGTATCAGATACGAAATCTTGCATAGTTTATAATAATGAAAAGTCTGCCTTACTTTTTTTATTTGATATAGGAGCAAGTCAAGGGGGAATCTCTAATCTATCTCGTTTTCTTTATTCTTGATTGACTTGCAAGACTTTCTAGAAACTACAAAATCTAAAGGGCTAGAAACTGTATTGAAGAGATACAGAAAATGAATAATGGTTTATTTTGCTGTTTGCTGATGATACAATGTTTATGTCAGAAACTTGCAGGATTTACAGATGATGCTAATTTTTTTTTTTTAAATTAAACAATGGAAACTGGAAATAAATGTGAAAAAAAAAAACGATATCTGGTTTTCATAGGTCGATTGTCAATGAATTTGAAATTTGATATTGATAATCATAAAAATTGTGGCAGTAAATGAATATAAAGGGCTCAATTGTTGAAGGCCGTGCGGTGACCTTTAGTTGTTTAAGGCCTTGCGGGTGCCCATAATTTCTTTCATTCTCTTTATAAGAACTTTATATAGTCTTCTCATTGGCAATTAATCCTACCACATCTTCTTATATCTTATGTAGTTTGTTTTTTTTAATTCGCGACGCTTGTTTGTAATTATCAGCGTGTGATTTATGCTTCATGCCAAGGAATTGCCTCTGTTGAAATTCTGCAAACACCCCATAGAGCAAATTACATGGATGATTAATATTGACCATTTGGTATATG